CCAAAATTGGTGTAGCATAACCCTGATGGCGCATGCCTTGGGTGGTTGGGTAGCTAAGTGGTTAAAGCGTTGGTTCGATTCCCAGATGAGTCGAATGGGGGAAGCCCATTTCTGGTATCTCCGCCCTGGTATGGCATGAATATCCCTAAAGGCGGCGTAAAACTCACTTCAATCACACACTGAGAGCAAAGCAGGTATCCTGGATCCCTGGATACGATGCGCTTGCACTTCATCAGCCTGGTTCCCTGGGTAGGCTGCGCTTGCGCTACACCAACCTGGTTCCCTGGGAAGGCTGCGCTTGCGCTACGCCAACCTTGATCCCTGGGAAGGCCTGGGAAGGGAACCGGGCAAGGCTTGTGGTTAACGCGTTGGTGCTTATTAGCTTACTTACAAACAGAAACAGATTACTGCGATTGCCAGCTGATAACACATAGATCGCGATAATGACTTTATACGGTTACCACACTTGACCACAAAAACGACGTCTAAGACCTGCATCATTTAGAGCTTTCCTCCCACATCAAGCTGACACGCCGTGATAGAACTGGAATAATGTTCAAAACGGCATTAAATCCAACTCACTCACTCAGTCACAAAAACGAAAAACATATTTCTTGTCATAATATTTTCATTGCACACTTTAAGCCTTTACAGGTAGGTGTATCGAAGGATTACCGTTGACACATTGTTTAAACATTGTTTGTTTAAGATAGGCACATATGTGACTAGAAGTTTTAAGTTAAGATTTCAAGCTTCGGACATAACGAGAGCAACATGATCTATAACATAGCTTCGGTATATCCGGAATTTCTATCCACGTGTTAATCATGCCACGATTACAGGCAAAGGCTATGCTTCGGTATAGCCGATATTTGAAGTCAGTTCCTCGTTACATACGGAGTTGATAGCCTATGTGCATTGTCAACACAACTCGACTCGAAATATGCATGTATTTATTCCGACACGGAACGATGCTGGGCGGAGCGCTAAGACCGGAAGTATATATTAGTGGATTGTAAAACTAAATTGGACTAAATTAACAGCCCAAGCTATAAAGAACCAACTACTTCCATAGCTGTTTTGAAAACACAATCTGAAACTTCGCCATCAAGTATAAAACACGTTACAGGTGTAACAGATTATGCATATTATGTGGCGTGGACATTTGTTCAAGTATCGCATGGTTGTCCAGAGAGTCACAGGTCAGGCTCTATCGGCGCTCTTCTGCAAATTTTCATTGACATAAATTTCATAAACATTATCAGATCGGAAGGAACCCTGATTCCAATAAGAAAAAAATCAGGGTATGTCTTTCCTTCTTTTCAAACATTAATATTTTTTGTTGCATTTTTTGTTGTTGCATGTTTAAGGTAATGTGAGGAATATTAATTTTGTTAAGATATAATGGAGACTGCGGTATCCCCTTGCCAGATGTGTAGTGTGTCGGCCTCTTTCATACGTCATGAAGAATGCCATGTTGTCGGTGTGATAGATGATTTGCTGTCGGTGAACTGATTGTATCCATAAAAATTTCGTTCACAAACAAAGAATACGAAGGTGAATTATGACCGAGCCAGACATAATGACAACACTATCTTAAAGGTCAGAAAAACTGTTAACAATCATACATCGGAAAAAATCCATCCAAAACACCGTTCTCCATGAGACAACTACTTGGTCCTTGGCCTTGTGTTTTGTGTACTAACTTTATTACATGCTACTTTACGCTGTGGAGTGTATTATGTAATTTTTTTATTATTCACATTTCAGTTTAGTTTTGTAGCAAGCAAAAACTGTTTACGTTGCGACTACTTATGTACTTGTGGAGATGTACATATACAGAAGAATAAACTTGTCACATGGGATTCGTAGCGTTTTTTGTTGTTGCTGTGATTAATGACGCAGTGTAGAGTTGTGTCCCTTGGTCAGCCAGGATCATGTGCTCGAATACCAGATTCGCTCTGATTATGATTCTTGGCTTCACCAACGTTGTAAACGATTAAGACCTGATACCCATCTGATATGGCGTTCAGTCACTCTTTATAAATGCCTTTTGTGAGAGCTGAACTTACGAGCTGCTCGCAGGACGGGCTGCAGAGCATTCGTTACCAACTCGTCCCATTCCGGGACAAGGATTGTAGGTTACGGAAACATGCGAGTGGTGACGAATGGCTGCTGAGTAGTATATAGGGTCGTGGGGATTCCGGGCTAGAATATGTCACCATCATAACAGGCAACTTAATGTGGTCAGGATCAGTTACTTGGTTGTGTGCCATCGTACACCGACGGGGTAGGTCGTTGCTGATAACGCCAATCACTGGATTGTCTGGTCCAGGTTATATAAATGCCGCTGTCTTACAGCTGGAATATCTCAGTGCGGCGTTAAACAACAAACAAACAAACAACACGTTCAAAGCAGACAACCAGATCTGGATCCGTGGGAGTGGAACAGGCCCGGCGAATTCTACAAGGTCACGCCACCATGGATCTCTCTCAGCCAGACGAGGGGCGGTCCGGTATATAGTCTTGTGGTTAAAAAGATCGCTCGTCACGCCGGAGACCCGGGTTCGATTCCCGACATCGATACAATGTGCGAAGTCTATATCTTGTGTCCCCCGCCCCCGCCCCCGCCTATATTGCTGGAATGTTGCTAAAAGCGGCGTACAACCTCACTCACTCTTGGCCAGACGTGTCGCACTTGATAATCAGTCTTCCATTTTGACCAACCGATCCCCACATTCGCTAAGAACTATCAGTTTTTCTTCAGTCTGACACATATGGTGGCATGGTGGTTGGTTGGATGAGTGTGCGAGTGCTGAACTCCGCATCAGCAATCACGCAGTTATTTGCGGCAAGACCTGTATTATAGTTGTATATTTTGATTGATAAGATTGGAAAATATCATTAGAAAGGACCAGGCAAGCCTGTGTGGTAGCATAAACACAATGCCAAACAATCGCGGGTAATGATGACACACAATCAACTAAATTTCATATAAACTGCCCGGCAAAAGAACTTATACACTAGATAATTGGATTTGATTTGGTTGGTTGGTTTGTTGTTTAACGCCGCACTCAGCAATATTCCAGCTATATGACGGTGGTCTGTAAATAATCGAGTCTGGACCAGACAATCCAGTGATTAATATCATGAGCATCGATCCACCCAATTGGGATCGATGACATGCATCAACCAAGTCAGCGAGCCTGACCACCCGATCCCGTTAGTCGCCTTTTACGACAAGCATAGTCACCTTTTACGGCAAGCATGGGTTGCTGAAGACCTTTTCTACCCCGGAATCTTCACGGGTCAATTGGATTTGAGCAATATATATATAGATAGATAGATAGATAGATAGATAGATAGATAGATAGATAGATAGATAGATAGTAATAATTAAATAAGTGGAGTAAGACCGAACCCAGTCTTTATTGGCTAGCGCTTTCAACTCGTACCACGTATGAGTCTCATCAGGCCATATTTTTGTAAATAAAACTATGAGCCTAAATTATGTTTTTTACAAAATAAAGCAACAAAAAAGCCTGATGAGATGAGTTATGTGTTACATATTCTATAACATAAAAAGCCTTCTTCTGAAAAATGTTAAATTTAATTCAAAACATGTATGAAAATGTCCGTACAAGAGACTGTCGCCATATTGACCCACAACTACTTGTGTGTGTCCAGCGCATCCACTAACACACTGACCCATAACTATGTGTTTTAAAGGGGCCGCCACAATATTGACCTCCTTGAACACACCTGGGAGATTCATATTGGCATACCTTTCATGACAAACAAGACACAATTTATGGAAAACAACCCCCTTATTTTACTGACTGACTAATGGACATGGTACAGAATAAATATCTATCTATCTATCTATCTATCTATCTATCTATCTATCTATCTATCTATCTATCTATCTATCTATCTATCTATCTATCTATCTATCAGTGTACCCCCCACCCCCTCTCTCGCTATTGACCTAGAAAATGCTTGAAAAAAGTAGTTATGCTTTTTTGTTGCTTTTGTAAATAACATATTTTAGGGTAATAGTTTTTATTTAAAAAATATCTGGTTTTGCAGCTGTTAAAAACATGTTCAAAATCCGGGATTCGAACCCGCACTCTCTCAGTCAAGCACTCTCTCAGTCAAGCAGTCTATGCAGTCTATGCAGTCATGCGATATATTAGGGTACGTGGTGATGTTGCACACATTGGGGTGGGGCGGGAGTGGGTGTTAATTTGTTAATTTTTTATTACCTGTGTTGTCATACCTGGACGCTGTGAGACGTTGCTTATACCATCAACACTGGTTGTATTTAGCTCCGAATCGTAAACAGCCGACGTATTAGGCTCCACGTATTAGATCTAGATCTATACCGTGCTGGAATTTATTGCTGAATGTGGCGTAAAATAACATACAATAGCTCGTTCATCAACTCGATCACGTTTCTCTCATGGAAGCTGTCGATTAGCTACGAATCTCAGTAATATCTTGTTTGGTCTTTTATTTTAGAGACGCTTTTATATATCTCTGCATGTCTTTAACCGAAAAACACAGTTATAGTCTGAAAGAAATTTAGATTACAGTTTAGATTGACGTTTCTATCCTGCTGGTAGAAGAGACCTTAACTAACCTCATACCAAGTGAAACTGCTAATTTGACAGCACGGTGTAATTTGAGAACCTCAAGTCTTTTGCATTAAATATTGATAACATGTATGTCAGATGCAGGCGATAGCTTTGTTGTCGAGGCCAACATTTAACATTCAGTAAAATTGTGAATGACACGCATGTATTTCACCCCCTGAAATGGTTGTTAAATGTTATGAAATTTTAACTTTGGGATGAATCTATCGTTGTTTCTGACATCACATTTATAAATATCAAATGAATTCGCGTTTTTATTCTCATCTTGTCGTGTGGTATTTGCGCATTGCAATCTCCTTACAGAGACGAAGGAGTCGCCATTAGGCATGTTAAGAATAGCCACGCGAGAAAGCGAGAATGCAACAAAATCACGTGACCTTTGCACACGGCTCTCTCTCTCTAACATTTTTGTTGAAACGTGTGCTGATGAAACTCGACGGATAATACACTGATAAACAAAGGATTTCAACAATCCCTAGGGGTACGTATAGTTAAAGTGTAGTTTATGTAATATGTAAATGTTTATGCATCTTTTCGATTGACTACATGATGTGGTAGCTGTGATTGAGTACATACTACATAGTAGAGTCGATCGACGTGCATTATGAAACCCGAGTAACATGTGCTTCATGCTCCTCAATCGTGTATTCCGAGTAGTATTTCGATTTGTGAATTGTAAGAAGCTGCTAGGAAAATGTACTGCAAATTGTCGTGCATGCAAGTAGGGTTTGTTTTGATTGGAATTCGTAACCACGCTGCCAAGGAAAATGGCGGATGCACGCCGGATAAAATGGCATGTCACGTGACTTGGTGCGTGCTTTGTTGTTATTGCAGGCCTGTGTTGATTGGTAATGTTATGAACCTGTGTTCAGCAGAGGTCATTGTCCTGATTTCCTGCACAAATTGAAGTCAGTATCATACTTAAAATAAGGTAGAATGAGTAATTAGTACATCATGTGCATTATAGATTGTATCTATGTTAACTTCATTTCTCTTCGCATCATCAGCCAATATTGGCTCGAACACAAATAAGTCTCATGGTTTGGAAACAATTGCGTGATATCGTCTGTGGTTATTTGGATGCGTTTCTCCTTACAGAATATCGTGGCAAGATTGTTTTTGGATCATGTTGATGTAGTATTGGGATTTGGTAAAAATACTTTATCGTTGTTTGAAGAAAGCAATTGGTGGATCAATTCATGCAAATTTAGAGCATGCTTTCTCTGTATTCTTAAAATCATGTAATAGTTAGGTCTTCAACAGGTTGAAACCTTTTCTGTATCCATCATATTACTATTAGTTTTTAAATTTTAATGCATTTTTTCCTATGTTATACTTCCCACTAAAATGTACCTTTGTTATATTGAACGTGAAAACTAAGGTAACACTTAAGCCAAAGGATTGAACGGTTATGCATACATATATAACTTTTGGAGGGGGAATACGCAGGGATTATCCTGGAAATTTTAACCTAAAAGAGAAAATCTCCCCTGGTCCAAAAGCAATGAGATTTTTTGGCGTGTGATGAGATTTTGCTAATTTTCAGAGATAATTCATCTTCACCATGTTCACACAGTGGGGAAACTGTATTTGATTTTTGGTACTTGTTGCAAGTAAAATTACCAGATTATATAGATATATCCTCGGATATCCTATTTTCCAACATTAATTATTCCACTGTGAATACATGTATTTAAAAATATTAGCATTGTTATTAACATCATTAACAAAAAATTACATTCGACTTATATTTCTGTTCATTGTCTACTTTAGGAGAAATTACACTAATATTTCTGTATTTCTGTTCATTGTCGACTTGATGGGGAATTATTCACGCGGACCATTATAGATCGTTTAGGAGGCATGTTTACCACCATCAGCTGTTCATTTCGTTGGCATGCAGGAGACAACAATCTGCAGTCATCAAAGTTTGACAAAGTGTGTTTAGATCGTAATTCAATATGTTTAGAGTGATGACATGAAATAGCGAATATTATTTACATTCCATTGCTTTCGTGAATTTTGCCGTCTTATTTCCGTCTGAAATGTGTACCATATCAGAGGCCGGGTCTCTGACCGTATCAAATGAAATCTTATCAATATGGACTTTTCAATTAACTAGAAGTGACAGTTCATTATACAATGATCATTGCTCAAGGTTCAATCCCCGGAAGTTGAAAGACTGTTGATATTCACAATGTTTAAGAGATACATTTGAATGATAAAGTCACAGATTTCTATTTTTATGGACAAATTTGGAAACAAATGTATCAGACCATATTCTAAAAACTCTAAATCCAACTTGCTGTTTGGCCACTAGAAATATTTCAAAATTTGTAATTCACGCAAGGTGGCCATTCTTGCACGAGGGTACGTTCATGAAAACTCTTCCACCGGTGCTGCCACCGGCTAGGCGAATCTCATCTGAAAAACGATCATTTCTGATCTGAATTTTGTAGATTATTATGGAGAAAGAGTTGTATCATGATGTATGTTCATTTAGTTTTTGTTTTGCTGTCATTCCAGCAGTAGGAACATGCTGAATATTTTGTACACATATTCATGATGATGTATTCAATATATCCTTGGCATGTGTTAAATACCATCTCATGTGCTATGTATAATCTATTAAATATGCTGTGCTTCTGTAGGTTATTGATGTTGGAATATTTTATAAAAATGTTTAATCATGGTAATATATCTTGGAACATGTTGAAGTGTTAATTACCGCATTCGACGTAATAAGCGCCCACTGCGATATTTGCTAATATATTGGCTAGCGAACAATCTCAATTAGCACCCCCTCCGATTGATCAATGTACAAAAGACTTATTCGCGTAAAATACGCACTCGTGTGTTATGTGCACCCTTAATTATGGGCAATTAAATGCTGGAAAAATATATATGTCGTATTTAAACATTTCAGGCTGTCAGCATAAACCACGAAATTTATCTTTCAACTCTGTTTTTTTTCCACCAAAATAATATTCTAATAAGAGCCCCCTATTTCTAATTTTCAGAGCGCCCTGGGCGTTTATTACGTCGAATACGGTATGTTGAAAAATATTCTACCTAGCTTTTATTCATATGTGGGTTTTCTCCTATTCTTCCAGAAGGATGGCTCATTTTGTCTACCCTGTAGCTAATGCAGCCCAGCCAGCCACTGCTTATCCCACAGCTCAAACTGCATATGTGGCAGCAGCACCACAGGCCGCCTATGCTACTGCGGCTCCCCGAGCAGCACAGGCCTACGAGAGCTACCAAGCAGCTCATGCAGCACCTCAGTATGCCTACACGACACGCACACAAGTAGCAGTCACGGTAAGTATAGCAAATAACATTGCTGAGACTATTGTGAGAGTTCAAAGTTATGATAGGGTTACCAGTAACCTATGCTTCTTGTGAGAGGCAACTAGATGGAGCATTTGATTAACCAACATTAAACAACACACAAACATGGTTTAAGAGATAAGAAATCTCCTAAATTTTAAACTTTTAACATTAGGGTTATATTTACAGAAATTAAATTGGGTATTCGTGGTCTTCTCTTATAACATTTCAACCTAGGGATCAACTAAATCTTTAACTTGTGACAAGAATTCCTGTGAATTTCCTGCTTAATTCGAACACTTGTTGTGTATGATGTGTATTCAAATGTGTTTTGTGCATATTGTTTTATGCGTGGGTCATTAATAATCCAGCTTACAGTAGGAGGCATGTGCATCAATGTATTGTTGATTGTCTGGTCTAGGTTTGGTCTTGCAGCATGCAACAGTACAGCTGGAATATTCAAATGCTTAGTGTAGAACAATATTGTCCTTTGGCAAATGTGGCATTGTCACACCAACATCTTCGTCGATCAAAAGCATGTAGAAATAGGTACAGATAGTTATGTTTGAACAATTGTTTGTTGTAGCCTGCAGTGACGTATGATCAAACTAAAGCGTACTACCAACCGGCGCAAGCTACTGCATACACAGCAGCAGAAACACACTATCAAGCAGGTATTGTACCATGTTATGTCTGATAAGTAATTCCTCCGAGTAGTTGTGTAACAATACAGCGGCAATCAGTATCTTTGGGATGCAAGGTTGTACCCTTATCAATGAAGACATCTTGTCAGACTCTCATCATTTTGCCATGGTGGATAACATGGTCAGTTGGTATTGTATGGGTACTTGCATGTAGCTTTGTGACGAAATCATTACAATGTTTGTTATTCATCATTTGAAGTGACTTGTTAGCAAGAAACAAGATCATTATAATTTCTCAAAGAAAATCTTGTACGGTAGGATGATGCTATAGAGCATGAAGAATTGGTTAAAATTTTCAGAGCAGTGTTGTGACAGAAATAGCTGCCTGACAGCTAAAATTCAGTCAGGTAAAATGTTCTGAAAGGTCCCAGGCCTGACTGGCTCCTGACATTTTTTCGATTATATTTTTACGCATACCTAGTTGAGCAAAGTAAAAGGTTCTCCCATTTCAGTAGATCTATAGGACATTCCAATATCAAATTAATATCCGTAACAAATCAAGGTTGCAAGATAGGCGTTGCCCCCTTCATAACTAGTGACTCATGATTTACAATTTGGGTTTACTTTAATAATACCTTCAGAGAATCAAATTTCTGGAAAATTAAACTGTCGCATATTTAAGCCAGTAAAATTTGAAACTGAGGGCCAGCTAGCCCACCTGACAGTAATATTTTAAGACTTTTACCCACTGGACAGAAGTGATGCATTTGATGGAAATACTGATTGTATCAAAAGTTGAGTCTTGTGTAGAATATGGTAATGTAGGTCCTACTGAGTCTTGTGTAGAATATGGTAAAGTAGGTCCTACTGAAAGTTGTCTGTTTGTTACACCTCTACTGCATGCCATTCAGCTCCATGTTCAGTGTTGTGTGTACAGTCCATCAGCATGAGCAGTAAAGTTTTCATCAGTAATAAACAATAACACACAAGAGTGGTTCCCTCCAAAGCCAAACCGGCCTACAGTACGAGTTCCTCCTACAACACAGCTCAAAGACAACTTGCCCAACCCAAGGCACAGCCTGCAGTACAGGTGACGACAACAGCCTATGTGTACCCAGCCACAACATCGCCCGCAGTGACAACATACACCCAGGCAAGCTATGCGCCAACCACAACGCAGTCCTCATTTTCAGGTATGTGTACATTTAAATCAACTACAAAACCATGTGTCGTAATCATCAAGAAACAATATATCTTCGTATTATTACGTAATAAGGTTAGCATTGTCAGCCAAATCATGTATCTTTTGTCCTTATGTCAATTTTTATTAAAACATTTGTTGTTATTTCTGTCTCTTCAGTTTTTGTTTTATAATGTATACAGAACTAAGAGGGAATGCAATTTCTATTGAAGGGTGAGACTTTCCATGCTGTGATTTAATCCTTTTGGCAAATTTTTGTATTCAGGGATTAATGGTAACAGCAGCGCACAAACTTGGAACAAGTACAGTATCTCTCCAGGCAAGTGTTTTCAGGAAAGTACTTGCCTGGTTGGGCAAATGCTATATCCTTGAGTAAATGATAATTCCACACCATATTTGTTTCATTGATGTCTTAAATTGATGGAAAGATCCCGTTATGTTTGACATGTGTTAGCACATGGGACCATGGGAGCAGTGCTACTTTACACTTGTCAGAGGGGTACACAAAGTATGTGATCTAGACTACTAGTTGTTGGACTTTCATTTTTTGTGGAAGCCTCGCTGGCTGAGTGGTTAGTTTGCTAACTTTGTGTGCTGGCGATTAGGTGCCTCACTCTGAGAGTGTGGGTTCGAATCCTGGATGGGACTCAACCCCCAAAAGTACTAGAATTTGTACTTTACTAAGAAAGTGTTATCCCAAATATAACGTTTGTTACATGTGTTATCACATTCTCATTTCATTCACATGTGTTCATAAGTGTGGTTATCTAGAATATACTTAATTGCTTGACTAAATGTATGAAAGGGCCAGTCAAATTTTTTTAATGTGTTTAATACTGCAGTAGAATCACATTTGTTGAATTATGTTCGAGGTATTTCTGTATTAGGTATTAAAATGTAGATTGTTTCTAGTAGTCGCAATAGTAGGTATTTTTTATTTGTAGAAATATGTGTATGATTGAATCTGTCGATTGGTCATAAGAAGTTAGTACCTAAAAGTAATAATATGACTGATACAAGTGATAGCTGAAAATGGTGTTAACAGATGTTAAGATCACATATATAGCTGTAAATGCAGATGGTCCAACTTTAACCTGTTTACAGGGATTAAATAGGATCATCTGTGTAGGGAATAAATGCTTGTACTACTGGCTTTGTGGGGTGATAGACATGCTCTGGACCAGTATTGTATATGTTGATAATTTTTAGTTCAGAAATTTGATTTGAAGATAAATGTATATTAGACCACTTCCTTGACACATTTTGTGTATGTTTGATAATGTTAAGGTCAGAAATGCCAATTCATTGATAAGACTTTGTTTTATTACCATTGTCAGATAATTTGTACCACCCAGAGAGGTAGTTAACCTTTATTTGGCGTAGAGCGTAAGTATTTGTTGAGTTATGGTGATATTGACTGCAGGCTATGATGCTGCTCTGTACACAGCGGCCACCTCGTACTATCAGCAGCAGCAAGCAGTGAAGACGGCTGGGACCTGGGCGGTCAAGAAACCTGGTGTGCCATTCAAACCCCGGCCCAAGGGGCCTCCCAAACAACCTCAGCTTCACTACTGTGATGTCTGCAAAATCAGCTGTGCTGGACCCCAGGTAGTAGTGGATCCACTTTCCTTGGGTCAAATGGCCAATGTGTGCTATTAGTTTTGAAAAAAATACATAATTTGATTTCAAATTTCTGATTTTTGTTTGAACATGTTGAACATACTTTATGCTTGGCTTAACTGAGCAGTGTTGGATGGCCTCGGTCTTGGCTGTGTGTCACAACCTCTTTTAAGTGACAAATAAAGCTGGGGGTAGGAAGATTTTGTTAATGAATAGTTTGTTCAGAAATATGCCCCAAATGAATAGTTTGGCAGTGGTGGAAAAAGAATAGTTTGTTTTTGTGAAAAATACCCAAGCGTCACAAATTTGGTTGATAGTGAAAATGAATAGATTGTTTGATGGTGCTCAGTAAATTGATAGATTGTTGGATATGGCTGGGGGAAAATACAAATCGAATGGATGCTCCCTGAGGTTTTCACCATTGAACAGTAAAAGTGATGACATGTCATCCAGTAGGGCATGCTGGGTTTGGATGCAATTCCAATGGTTATGAGAATCAGGAAGTCAGCCATCCTATTGATGGAGATCAAATGCTCTATAGATATGCTTATGAAATATCCCTTTGAAATTTGCCTGATCTATGGTATAAGTTTGCAGAGGAGGCAACATATTACACAGAATTACAAAGCACTTTCTGATTATTCTGATATGATTAGAAAAAAATAGATGAATTATGTGTTCTTTTCTCTGCCAATTGTTCAGTCAAGTGAAATCCCATAGGTCACAATTAGCATCATTGATTGATAAGCATTAGTGAAGTTATTAGGAAAGTATTATTTGACGCAGCGTAATTCCTTCCTTGTGTGCATCACTCTGGTTTGTATTCCTAAAACTATCAAATGTATTTTTCCAACTGAATGTTACATCAGAATAGGCCTCGGTGTTACATGATTGTAAAGGCTGACTGGTAAGGTGGACACACACGTTACATGGATGATTTCATCGGGGGTGTCTTTTCTCCCTGTGATATGGGTGTTTGTGAGGCACAGAGTCATCTATTTTCTAATCTCATTAAATTCAGTTCTTAATTCTTGCTACTGCAAAAACTAAATTTGATAACATCCAGTTACAGGTCATGTACATTCGACCTTTCGCGAACTTTGACCGACTAATGAAATGACTAACATGAAGTCAACATTAGCCAATCAGAAAGCAGTTGTCTCTAGCTATACCATGTATACAGCACTAGTTTTGAACTGGCAACTAATCTTTGAAAAATATGTCCACATAACCTTCTGGAATGTCTAATAGATGGCCTAAATTGTATGGCAGTACTTCCCACGGGCAATGCAAATTCTCTTCCATTCAAATGTTTATCCCACTGAAAGGTTGTTTGAATGTGACACGTAAAAGGATGTCCTCAGATCTTTGTTTAGCAGTAGCGAGAACCAAGATCTGATTTTAATGAGATTTTTTATTTACTGGCAACAGTGATGTAACATAGCTTACCAGGGCTTTGACAAAAACAAAGCATACAATGTGATCAATACATGTGAGAAATAATTATCCCAATACAATGAGTATCACAATATTTGACAGTAAGGACACAAACAAAAAGTTTTCATGGCTGTCTTACATAACTCCAAACCACCCATTTCTTCTTCAGTACTGCCGTTAGATCATGCAGTTATCCATGTAACTATTTGTTCCTGTTATCTATTCATGAATGCAGTAGTAAAAGAAAACTTATAAATGGTTGGAGTTCAAATAGTGCAAAAACCGATGACAAAACAACTACTAAATAAATATCTGTTGCCATTGTCATTATGTGCATTTGGACACATTATGTTTTGTCCTTTGATGCAGTTCAAACAATTGCTTCCGCCCGGAGAGCGGAAGGTTCGTGGTTTGATCCCCGGCCAAAAGACGTTAAAATATGGTACTTGTTGTTACCCTGTCTGGCGCTCCGCATTGAGGGGCTAAAACAAGGACTGGTCGGCTCGGAGTCAGTATACTGTGTCTGAGTGGGGTATTCATGTTAAACTGCGGCATGGTATCACAGTGAGCTAGCACTATAAATCGGCATCAGTCCAGACTAGTACAAGCAGCAACACACACACACGTGCATGCACGTCGCTATATAAGTGCAATAATCTTGGACGCGACGTTAAACCCAATTTCACCTCACCTCACCTCAAACAATTGCTAAATAAATATTTGCTTGTGTAAAATTGTCCTGCGTGCTGATGCATCAGTGCCCTGGTCCATGTTGTTCCTGTAGTCCGGTGTGTGTGTTGTCAGACATACCGGGAGCATCTGGAGGGTCAGAAGCACAAGAAGAAGGAGCAGGCCATGAAGGGTGGGGCGGCCCCTGCTGCTAGAGGTCACAACCAGTTGAGGTGCGAGCTGTGCGATGTTACCTGTACGGGAACCGACGCATATGCGGCTCACATCAGAGGAGCGAAGCATCAAAAGGTAGGCTATGGAACTACTGCTCTATGGTCATCATCTGTCTGTCTGTCCATCCATATTTCGTTTCTGGAGCATAACTTGAAAACCGTGAAAGGTTTTCTGTCCACACATGCTACATGTATTAACCAGGGCCTGAAGTGGTGCCTTTTGCAATTTAGGAATGTTTCAATTTTCCCTGTTTCCATTGAAAAAAGTTAAGACTCAGCTGAATTGGAGGTAGGTGTCGTTTCAGTGTAGAACTAGAAAACTGTTCAACATCTTTCATCCAAACTTGGTACATGTATTAATCGGGCTGAAGTGTCTTTTGCTATGTAGGAATTAAAAAAAAACCCAAACTTTTTTTCTTCTTGTTTCCATGGCAACAAGTTGGACTTTGGCGCTGTTTGTAGTGGTGTTTTTGTCCGAACCATATCTCTAAAACTAATAGGTACTCATTCTTGAAACTGTACACACACACAGACCAGGTTGTCAACTGGTGCTTTTTGCTGTTTAGGGATTTAAAGAATCTATATTTTTTCCTTTTCCATGGACTTTGAATTTGACTCTGTCATAGTGGTGTGTATCTCACATACATATACAAAGTTCCGAATCCCATTCCCATGGTATTGTTTTTATAGCACAATAACTACTCTTGTACACACTATGCAGACAGACCGATTAGATAGAAATTCTCTCATCAAGTTTGACTATAACAGTCAGATGATTTGTTCTTTCGAATTTGTTGGGGCCAGGGGGGATTTGTTGTCATCTGATGTCTCTTGTTTGATTAATAAGGGACGTCAGGTTGTAGTTGACATGAGTGTGAAAGGAAAGAGTGAGCTGTATTATCAGTATGTTGCTAATCGAGGTTAATTTTTTCTGCAATACGTTTCACAATAATAGCCAAAGATAGCTGCCTATTTTTATTTTTTTAATAAGTAAACACTGGTGTCCAAGCATCTTGTTTTGTTCTATATTTGAACCTCAATTCATACATTGATGTTACAGATTGCTTCTGAATTCAAAATTTAGAAATTATACAAATTTATCATATGTATTGCAATATGGCCTTGTGGATTGCAAAATATTGTGATACGGTGTCCTCCCATTAGTTAGACGTCCCAATAGTTAGACAGCATATAACAACACTATAAACGGTTGAGTGCACACCGATCCTTATGCTTGTTACCTCAGACTTTAAAATGGAATAGTCCAGATAGCTTTAAAAAGATACTTTAATATTAACTTAACATTTAATAACTTTTACAGTTTATTTATCCCTGACGAAGTAAGTGTCCACAAGCATCTTAATACTCAATAGCAGACTTGTCACCCTAGTGCACTGATCTTTGAGGCGTACCAGGCGGTTCTCTGTCTCTCTGTAGATTCTCTTACGGCAGCGTAGTGCCGCACCAAAGTTCAATTGCATCACCTTAGTCCTTTCACTGAACTCGACTTTCTGGATGACTTCAATGAATCTGTAGATGTTAGGGTGAACATGTGGCAGTAGGTAGTTCAGTCAGCTGTGGAATCCCTCAAGGTTGTTGTTGGTTCTGGGTCCATCAGTTTCGAAATGGTTCCACATCTCCAATGTGTGCAGGTTTGCCTCTCGCAGTTTCTGTTGTTAATATATCCATCTAATATCAACTGCCTACTTCCACGCCCAGAGATGATGTACTCTTCTTTCCTTAAACCAGCCATATCGATACAGATCATGACACGTACCCCAAGATCATGTTTGATGAGCAGATAATCTAAACTCAACTCCTTTAACTGATCATACAGTAAGACAATTAAGCTACTCCATAGTTTACATAGTTAATCTCATGCCTATTGAACCTGTGCTGAGAGTAAGGTAATTTAGGATAATTAAACGAAATTGTAACATATATACTCCCTAAACTGTGAGTCCCCTATCCCTACTCAGTACTAAATTCTAATTAGGACTGATCCATTACACCTGTAGGGATATTCCGTCTTTGCCCAAATAAAATTGTCTAACAATTGGGACGTCTAACTAATGGGACGTCTAACTAATGGGATATAACCTGTGATACACTTTAAACCTCCAATAACAAAGTTGATGGGTGCTTGTTTTATCCGTCATGTTAAAGTTACAAATGGAGGTTGTCCCTTGTCTCAACTGTTGTAGGACCCGTCAGCAAGATCTACATACCTACACTCGTGTTAGTGGCCTACCATCTTCCAGTGGCAAGAGTGTTAACTGACTATAAAAGTCCAGTTTCCACCCTTGCTGAACTTGGCTGGTATTATGGAGTTACATTTTGGCTGGACTAACGAGTCCATGCATAGTCCAATCAAAATCTGCCGTACAGATTTCGGTTGATTGCAGGATTTGCAAAGCATGTGCACCGCCAACTCGTTGTCAGCAGATATTTTCCCGTTTTATCACAATGTAGACCTTGATTATCGATCAGATCGTCCTGACTGGGCGCCAACATTTTGTGTGAAGCAAACACAAGTGATGCGAGAGGTGGAATCTGATTGGTCCATAGCAGAGGCTTAGAAGGTTCTTAACTGGTAATAGCCACTGGTCAGCCCAGTAAATCCAGCCTAGTTCGGCAAGGGTTGAAACTGGACTTTTAAAGTCGGTTAACTCTCTTGCCTCGGAAAGATGGTCGCCTACTTATTTAATAGCAATTTGGTATTTATAATAGTGAAACAATAAAATATTGTTTCCACTGATGACTAAAATGAGTTGTTCATAGTTTCAATATGAGGAAGTGTTTATCAGCAACTAGAGAACATCTACATACCTACTCATGTGGCCTACAGGTGCTGAAGCTGCACACAAAGCTGGGCAAGCCCATTCCCTCGACTGATCCTGTGATAGTGTCCAACTCCCCAGCCACCACCACGACAGCCAAGTCCACGGGCAGCGCAGCCACTGTCACGTCTGCAGGGGGCAAGGCCATCATTGGGAAGACTGTGGCAACAGCAGCACAGCAACCAGCCAAGAAAGTGCTTGCAGCGCCCAAAATTACATTTGTTGGTGAGTTGGTGATGTGTTTTTTTCCACCAGATGAGCTGTTATCATATGTTGCATGGAAGTTAGTTCCTTTGGGCAGGTAGAGAACAAATATGGATACCTTTGTGGCTGTTTTGAAAGACTCGAAATTCAGGCATCAAGATTCATGATGGCGTCCCAGTTGTCTAAGGGACTAATTTGCTGTGCAGAAACCTATGATTGTGGTTTAAATACCAGATTCTGGGTTAAATACCAGATTCACCCTCATTATCTGTCCAGGTTTGTCCAGGTTTGCATCCTACCTGTGCCTGAGGGTTTCACCAAATTAGTAAACATCTATGTTTTCCTCCCACAAGGCTGACACTGTGATATGACGAAAGGTCTGTTTAAAAGCAGTATGGGGGCGTGGGTGGCCCAGTCGTCTGAGGCGCTGCGATTAGCTGTGCAGAGTTGCATCCCTTGGGCATGCCAGAAACCTATTATTTTGGGTTCAAATCCGATTATGTTTCTAGGTTTGTCAGCACCATACCCGTGCTTGGGGTTTCACCAAAGTGATAAACGTCTGAGACCTGCATCACTTTGGGCTTTCTTCCCACATTAAACTGACATGCCGTGATATAACTGGTATACTGTTAAAAGCGGTGTTAAACCAAACTCACTCATTCCAAAAGGTGTTGAACCCAACACTATCTCATGCATAATGCCCTGCCATGATATTGCTGGAATATTGCTAAAAGTGGCGTAAAACCGTACTCTCGCTCACTCACTCACACATAATGGTTGCTCTATAACTGTTGGAAGGAAGCTGAACTATCTGTCTTTAGAATTGTTTGTTATGGAGGTTTGAGCATGGTTCAACCTTGAAATATAAAATTTGCAACTGTAGTGTAACCTACCAGTCCCATGTTTCATTAGATGTAGAGATGCATGACTGACTCTTGACTGTTTAGGAGGCACACAGCTGAAGACAACAGGCGCTAAGGCAGAGGAAGTGAAGGTAGAGAGCATCAAGGTGGACCAGATGCCAGCCTCGTCCTCCGTAGCAGATTCGGACGGTGAGCCAATTTCTAACGCTGAATCTAAAAAGAACTTGAATTAAACTCTTCAGTTCCCCAGCTTTTCTAATATTAATTATGTGTGGTTGATATGTCGTTTGGTGTGTGATATATATGTTGTGCAAAATCGTAATAATTGATTATTGATTTGGTTATTTCAGAGCTGGATGCAGATGGGGATAAGTTGAACATTCTTGGAGAGAAAGATGTAGCTCCAGTTGGTGAGTATTAGTGAATAGTGTGTGAAACTAACCAGAGCAGTGTCCCTTTGGTGGCAGGATCGTCCGGTTGTAGGCTCAAGTTCAATGTTCCACCAGATTGTGATCCTTCGTTCGTGAGCACATGGGTTTCACCAAGGGGTGCACAAATATAGCCTGGTTCACATGGGTTTTCTTACCCCATTTTTACTGACACAATTTTTTTAAGGTTGCATCAAGCTTAGTGGCTGAAACATTGCTGATTTATCTCACTCACTGATGATGTTGATGTCGCTCAATGGCTGTAACATTGCTGATGTCACTGATGTTGATGTCACTGTTGTTGCTGTCGCCCAATGGCTGAAACATTGCTAATGTCACTGATGTTGCTGTCACTGATGATGTTGATGTCGCTCAATGGCTGTAACATTGCTGATGTCACTGATGTTGATGTCACTGTTGTTGCTGTCGCCCAATGGCTGAAATATTGCTAATGTCACTGATGTTGCTGTCACTGATGTTGCTGTCACTGATGTTGATGTCATTGATGTTGCTGTCGCTCAATGGCTGTAACATTGCTGATGTCACTGATGTTGATGTCACTGTTGTTGCTGTCGCCCAATGGCTGAAACATTGCTAATGTCACTGATGTTGCTGTCACTGATGTTGCTGTCACTGATATTGCTGTCACTGATGTTGCTGTCGCTCAATGGCTTAAACATTGCTGATGTCACTGTTGTTGATGTCGCTCAGTGGCTGAAACATTGCTTACACTCATACACTCACTGTTGTTGATGTCACTGATGTTGATGTCATTGATGTTGCTGTTGCTCAATGGCTGAAACATTGCTGATGTCACTGTTGTTGATGTTGCTCAGTGGCTGAAACATTGCTTACACTCACTGTTGTTGATGTCACTGTTGTTGATTTGCACTGTTGTTGATGTCAATGTTGTTGATGTCACTGTTGTTGATGTCACTGTTGTTGATGTCGCTCAGTGGCTGAAACATTGCTTACACTCACTGATGTTGTCACTGTTGCTCAATGGCTGAAACATCTCTGATGTCATTCACTCTTGTAGGGGCGGTCGGGTAGCCTAGTGGTTAAAGCGTTCGCTCGTCACGCAGAAGACCCGGGTTCGATTCCCGACAAGGTTACAATGTGTGAAGCCCATTTCTGGAATATTGCTAAAAGCAGCGTTAAACCATACTCACTCACTCACTCACCCACTCTTGTTTCTGCTTTTATTGTTTTTCTGATAGGATGTGTTAACTCCAACCCAAACTCAGCAACACTTCTATTACAGGTCATGAATACATTGAGGAAATGAAGAATGACCAGGGTAAAGTTATCAGTTTCAACTGCAAGCTCTGCGAGTGTAAGTTTAACGACCCCAACGCCAAGGAGATGCATCTAAAGGGTAGAAGACATCGACTACAGTATAAGGTAGGCTGAATTCATTAAGTACAAAATTAGCTGTTGAAACAGGAGCTCCACGACCTTGATTAGTTTTAGCTTGAGCTTGTGCCTTGTGCCTTGTGTGAGACTGTTATTATACCCCCGACCTTTTAGGTCGGGGTCATATAATTATACCAAGGTTCCGTCCATCCGTCCGAAAACTATGTCCACGTGATTTCTCTTAAACTATTCAGTGGATTCATCTCAAACTTAGTACATATAATCTGTGTCATATGGAGGGGCGCAGTCAAAAGAAAAAAACACTTTTTATTAATTTTCCATTTTTTAATGAATTTTTCAAACCTTAACCCTATCCATTATTTAATTTGAAACTACTGACACACTAGGCGGGTCGGGGGTATTAGTGAGCCACGCTCACTTTTGCCCTTGTTAGTCTCTGTTATTAGAACTTCATTTGACAGTTTAAGTCTTTTCTGATACAGTGATCCCTGTGTTGATGTGTTGAATTAGTTGTAAGGGGATACTTATTTGGATATCAATTTTATCTGTAAGTGTATAATGAAACTCAACACTGTAGATCTGCAATCTATTCAATGCTAAACATGAACTAGGCTGATCCAGTGATTTTAAAAAGAATATTGAATTTCTGCCTCATTGTCAACCTTAACCATGGTAATCTGGATAAATGTCCATGTTTCTGTAGCAGTGAGTTACTCATTTTGTATCAATATTCACTAAATTGTATCAAACAGCATGGGCATTAAACATTTAGATCAGGATTGCAATACAAGATGACGTGATTGATTGCATACAAGTTCAGTTTAGTTTGTTTGCTGAAGAAGTATGTTTGCTGTTGAAGTATGTTTGCTGTTGAAGTATGTTTGCTGTTGAAGTATGTTTGCTGATGAAGTATGTTTGCTGATGAAGTATGTTTGCTGTTGAAGTATGTTTGCTGTTGAAGTATGTTTTTTGAAGATGTATGTTTTTTGAAGACGTATGTTTGCTGATGAAGTGTGATGTGTTCCAGAAAAAGGTTGACCCCAACCTGCAGGTGGAGGTTAAGCCCAGTATCCGAGCACGCAAAGTTCAGGAGGAGAAACTGAGGAGGCAAGCTCAGAAGGAGGAGTTCTGGCGACGCAGAGAACAGGAGGAACGGTGGAGGGAAGAGATGAGGTAAACGACACATTGGAAACACCGCCATGATATGGCCAATGTTTTGTTGACAGCAGTGTAATACATCCAACCAACCACCCTTTAGGTAGAAATAAGATTTTTATCGCAAGTTTTACCTTTTTGACCTAGGATGGAAGAGGAGATGTACTGGGAGCATCAACGCCGCTACGAGATGATGGAGTATTATGAATGGCAGCGGCATCAGGGACCCCCAGGAATGATGCCGCCACGCCCATTCATGGGAGGGCCTGGACCAATGGTGAGATATCAAGTTTTATTTAGCTGTCTTTGTAGTCACGGATAAAGGATTTCTTAAAGTGTATTTCTCAGTATTATGCATACTTCAAGTGACAAAAAACTGTTGTCATTTGCATAGAGGTGTGTGAGTGCCTGTGCGTGTGACTTACAAAAGGGGAGTCACAAACTATTTAATGATCCTTACCCTCAGCATGGCATGTCATTAAGCTTGTATGGAAGTTTTTACAGTTTATCCTGACTGATCTCTTGTGCTTAATGCACTTTCAAATGTAATTACCTTCCCATTTTGGTCAAAGAGCAACCAAAGTAATAATGTCTATCGCTTCTTTTGGGACAAACGGTTGGTCTTGGACAATGTTTCGCCCATCGTAACAGTGCTCTTTTACATGTGGTTTGGCTTGCTGATGTAAAAATTCATGGATGGGAGAGTCTGCCTTTTACTGTCCTGTCGCAACATACCCTGTCTTGTGACAATCACAGTCTTTGGCCTTGTTGGTGTAAACCAGTCGTAAGAATGGTTATATATGACATGAGCCTGTGGAATGGGTTGTTTTGCATGTCAAATACTGCAACAAGGCTCCTTAATTGTTATTTGATTCCCTGTGCTATAATGAGAGAATAATGAAAGATTGTGCGCGTTGTGATGGAGCTTTCTTCGTAAACATTGCACACTGCTCACTTCCGTATAAACACTGGCAAGTGAAACACATGGATGAATGTTCATATGAAATAATCCATGTTGGGGTATTTCTATGAGACTCTTTCGTGTAAGAGACTGTGCTCCTAACTGATTCATGTGGGTGATAATTCTTGCATCATTATTGAATAAGATGTGGCAATGTCACACTCTAAAAGGAATAATGTACATCCTCAAAGCTTTGAAACTTGTGAATTGCTCTTTATGTCAATCAGTGGATTGTTGGTCCAGACTTTAGTGGACATTTTAGTCCACTAGTTCTTATGATGATAATATATAGCCAAAAAAAGGGTTATAGATCAGTTTTTACATGTTCCATGAATTCGTTATGACTTTGTTCATTTATATTGCAGCACATGAGAAAGCCAGATACAGCTGATGATCGCCATGTGATGTCCAAACATACTGCCATATACCCAACGGAAGCAGAGGTAGGCTTAGGTTGCCATAGTGATGGTTAGAGCATGGCGGTTGACAATTGTTATTGGGGCTGTAAAGGTACACTTTGTAGCAAGCTATAAAATACTGACCTTTAGTTTGACAGTAACATCAAGACTGGGTAAAGCATGTCAAGTAGCAGTATTCCATTCAAATGAATGATAAGGAACTCAGTTATGACTAATTTATTGACTTAAGGCATTTAGTCCTAAATTGACTTTTGGACCTGTTGCATATACTGTCAGAAAATAAAAGTTGACATATATTTTCATACCATATACATGACATATGCACTGATACTTCAATATTAGCAGGGTATATTCCAACTCAGTATTTTTAGAGTGAGCTCACTTTCATTAACAGCAGAACAAACTAATTATTACCATTATTTTAAAAGTTAAGAACTAGCTTGCTCTTATGTTATTTGTATTTTATTATGAACAACCGATGTAGTGGATAGTGTCTGCCTGTAGAGCAGAAGGTTTGTGGTTCTTACCAAAAGACGTTAAAAAACTGGTCAGCTCAGAGGCAGTATAATGCGCCTGAGTGGAGTATCCATGTTAAAACTGTGGCATTGCATCTTTGTGGGCTAGCACAACAAAACTGGTATATGTTCAGACTAGTGCAAGCAGCCACACACAACCTGCATGCACATTTCACTTTAAGTGCAATATCTTGAATGTAATATGAAACCCAGTTTCACCTCACCTCCGTTTGCATCCATTCAAGGTTTCTTTTGTGAACTGTCAGACTAACAAATAATTTCTGATAAGTCTCACTAACATTTTCTTGATTAACGAAAGTACCTTCCTAGTCACTGTCATCATCTGACACACCAATGCTGTATCTCACAACACAACCACTGACTATGCTAATATCAATTATTAGGTAAGAAAAGGTAAAGTATTTCTGACAGATGCAATAGATGTCTATAAATTATGTAATGCTCAAATTTGTTTGTATTTAAAATTAAATGGGAATGTGTGATTTTTTTTGTAATTTTGTTCCAGCTTCAGGCAGTACAGCTAATCGTGTCTTCTTGTGAAAGAGCGCTGAAGCAGGTCTCAGACTTCCTTGCCGACAGGTAAATTTATGCAATGTTTTCTTAGAATAGGTCCCTAGCAACCTATGCTGGTCATAGGAGGAGGCAAGGACGATGGGTGGCAGGCACTTTGACTTGGCTGCTTTTGTTTCCTCGTACTTGGACAATGTGGGACATTGCTCATAACGTCAGTCACAGGATTATCTGGTGTTGATTTGATTGTTTGCAGGGGGCACTGGTGGCCCAGTCGTCAGCTGCGATTAACTGTGCAGAGTTGTGTCCCTTGGGCATGCTAGAAACCTATGATTGTGGGTTGAATCCCGGTTCGCCTCAATTATGTTTCTAGGTTTGTGAGCACCATACCTGAGCTGACACGCCGTGATATAACTGGAATACTGTTAAAAGCGGCGTTAAACCTACCTAACTCACTCACTCACTCACTGATTGTTTGCAGGCCTCTATCATATAGCTTAATTACTTCTGAGTGAAGCATTAAACAGTTACTAGAACTGAATTACATAAGGAAGATAGTGAGGTATATGAGACCTAGTCTGTGTTGCAGTGATGCGCCGAAAGATGCCGAAGCCGAGAAAAAGGAAAAGAAAGAAGTAAAGAAGGAGACTGAAGCTAAGGAAGGGTAAATGGCAACGTTGAATTTGTATCTCTACATATGGTATCAAAGATTGTGTAATTGTCGGCGTCAAGCCCATGCCTTTTGGGCCAGGATCTGCAGTTACTCTCCCATTTTCGTCCTTTGTTATTCAGCAGCCACACATTCTCTTGGGTTTAACACGGCTGACATGCAGGGATATAATATAACCGAAGTACTGTTCGAATTAGCATTATGCACCCCACTCTGTTACTCCTCTCGGCATTTTGGATGAGAATAGGACCTCAGCAATTGATATAGCTCATAATAGGCCACTTAATGGATCGTATGACTCAGTGACTTGGTTGAATGTGTGACATTGTACCCATGTTGCTAATAATATCAATCACTAGATTGCCTGGTCCAGACTATTATTATTTTCAAGCTGCAGTCGTATACTTGGAATATTGTTGATTGTGACAATAAGCAGAGAAAACAAATCGAAATGTGTTCCTCCATTCCATGTTGAATGTTGAAGATTGTATGATTTCCTTGCAGTGAGAAGAAGAAGGACGATGACACCTCCCCGCGGGTCCTGAAGGGTGTGATGCGTGTTGGGGTCCTGGCCAAGGGGCTGTTGCTCCATGGAGATCTCAATGTCCATCTAGTCGTACTGTGTTCTGAGAAACCCACACGCACACTACTGGAGAGAGTGGCTGACGGACTGCCCAAACAGTTAGCTGTAGGTTGCACTTCACATGGAAGTAGTGTTATAGTGATAGGAAGCAAACTAATATAAGGGTAACGCTATTTTTCAGGGCATTATCATTTACAGAAGCCTGAGGTCTTCAATTAACTGCCCGACGAAGGAGGGCAGTTGAAAAGACCCAGGGCTTTCTGCAAATGATAATGCCCTGAAAAATAGCGTTATTATAGCTAAAATGGAATGGAAGATGGAGTTTGTTATCAAATATAAAGAAACAACAATATCAGTTTTGAAACATATACTGCAAACTACACGAATGTCACTGACACACTTTTACAAATATGTTAACGTCATAGAACAAACCAGATGACCTCACTATTCAACGTGACATCACCTATCCCTTTCCTATGACGTCACCTAACAACGGGCATGATAATGGCCCGTCGTCAAGCAATATGAGGGCATTATCAAGTTACAGTGGCCCACTCATTTCTGATAACATGCGGGCGGTTTAATGATAATTCTACCCATTTTAGCTATAATCCTTCATGGTAAATAAATTTGCTACTGCCTCTGCTCATGTATTTTTGTCATTTAAGTGAAAGCATGAAATCACAGGAAGTTAAGTCTCGTGACTACCTGACCGCCTCCGTGGTCTTGTGGTAGAGCGTCCGCCCGGAGAGCGGAAGGTCCAGGGTTCGATCCCGGGCCGCGTCATACAAAAAGACGTTAAAAGATTGTACTTGTCGTTACCCTGTCTGGCGCTCGGCATTAAGGGGCTAAAACAAGGACTGGTCGGCTCGGAGTCAGTATACTGTGTCTGAGTGGGGTATTCATGTTAAACTGCGGAATGGTATCTCAGTGAGCTAGCACTATAAATTGGCATCAGTCCGGACTAGTACAAGCAGCCACACACACACATACACGTGCATGCACGTCGCTATATAAGTGCAATAATCTTGGACGCGACGTTAAACCCAATTTCACCTCACCTCGTGACTACCTCTTCAACATTGGATATATGTAGCATGATACTATTCACTTTATTGCTCAGCTGGCCATAAGGACTGATAGGTAGATGTCTGGCTTCTCCTTAAATCAGTTTACTGTGACTTGAAACTTGAAGTTTTGAATACTGGATTACTAAATGTAAAAGAGTTACTAAGATATTTGTGTAACAGAAATAAGGCAGGTTTTAAAGAGTAAGACATGGCCATTAGTTAGCTGGCCATAACACTTGGGAAACTTGAATAGACTATACGTTTTGTCCCCAAACCTATTTATTTTATCATACATGTGTATGAGTCAGGATAAGTATAAATGATATTTTTACTCTAAAAAAATACATATTTTGCAGATACTTTTTCAAAGCGAGCTGGTTATCGATCAATTCAAACTCCTAGTGCCTTCTATTTGAAAACTCCTGTCAGATTTTAATGGGTAAATAAGATGTAAAACAATTCCTTTTGTTTTTGCAGACTGTAACTGATGAGAAGTTTGAAGTGAAGCGGTGTGTGGAAGAAGCTGCCATCATCGTGAGCAACACCAAGGAACCTCCTACAACATGCACTGTGACGTTGACGTCGCCGGTGATGAGGGAAGCTGCTTCAACAGAGGGTGGAGGTAAAACGTCCCAGCTCAACTTCCTCGGGGGTTGGGGCAGGGTGATAGGGGCATGATGAAATCCGAAGGTTCAAATTGATATTTGGTATTACTTTCTCAACTTGATTTGAAAGAAAGTTTATCAAGACTAAAGTTGTAGAGTGGTCATGTAACCAGTTGTTTAAAAGTCCACTAACAACCCTTCAATTGTTAAATTTCAATTTTCAAACATGATCATTCTACAAAAACCCAAAACATTCAAATCAAATAGAAATCTGCATAATGGCATTTGATGTAAGACAAGATCTTCTTAAGGAGACTTTGAAGAAATTAATACTAAAATAACTCATCTTATTGATACATTATTCTGTTACATGCCATTGGATGTTCTGATTTGATTTGACATTAATACAGTTTGTTTGTTGCCATGTGATGCAAACAAAGCTTCTAGATACCCACAGGTTGAGAGAGGAAAATGGAAAAGGAGCGCTGGAAGGATTTTTGACCATGATGAGGGGGCCGTTGGAAATTGGCCACTCTTGCACACACCTATCTACTTTCACACCATCATTTAGCATTACATATCCGCTGCTTTCTTTACACTTCTTTTAATATATTCTGTTTGTTTTGATGTCTTTAAAAGTTCGAATTAGTTTTATTTTGTATATTTCTTTTCAAAAATTATTTTATTTTCATTTCCTTAAAGATTAATGTAGTTAAGTGCCACAAAGCGTTACTTCAAACTCCAAACAGTTATTTTCATTTTTTTCTTTTCCCAATACTGGCTTTAGTTCGTTTTGCTTTCTCTTAGAACATAATCTTTTATCGGCTCAGCACATGCTTTCCTTTGCCTGATACGCCAACCCTTCTCCGTCTGTTGCCATTCCGCCCGGGTTCCCCATCCATGGTCAAACACCCGTTCCGAGAGGCTACCCTGAAATCTACAACATTGTGTTATAGAGACTCTAAGCGTCAAAGACCCTCCGGATGTGCTGGACAGGCACAAATGCCTGGATGCCCTAGCTGCACTTCGACATGCTAAATGGTTCCAGGTTCGAGTTACTTTTATTTATTACTTTGCAGCCTTATGTTAGCTTTCAGTATATCATTGACAGGAAAAAAAGTCGAAAAATTCCAGCTGTTTTTCACAAATTGATCGCGTGGGTTGGGCATGGGTTGGTGTGTTATTTGTGGCTTACAGCATTGGTTGGGCATTGATGGATGGAAGGAAGGAGGCTGGTGTATGATAGGGACCTGGCTCAGTCAGCTTCACAGAGTTGTCTCCCTTATATGGAACTGATAGGATCTGCCCCTAACACCACACAATATCTACAATAAACAGTTGAAGAGTGGCTGGGGAAATAGTAATTTCAGAGTTACGCATTAAAATGCATTTAGAAGCATTTTGTTAATTAAAGAGTTCTCATGAGGAAATGATCATGTCTGCCTTTGATGATTGTGATTTCTTAGCACTCGAAATTGGGCAGTTCTTAGATTCCAAATAGCATGTATTTACAATTATCATGTGTGAAATTGCGAGTATTACAGGTTGAGCTTCGTTTCCCGGCATTGAACTTCACTCTTTGAACATAATGATATAGTAGTGCATATTATTCTGAAATCTTGAACTATGAATGTAGAATTCTTTGTGATTTTATGCCAGGTCAAACTGACTGCTGCATGTAGGTCCGGGTAGGTCATGGGATAATCCTTATAGAAAATTGTAGCTCATACTTAAGTATATACAGTTTCCAGGCTATGATTGTGTAGCTGAAGTTCTGAGCCAGATTCCTTGATGCCTTTTGGCCTACATTTCAGGGCAGATGTAGATATTTATATGACTTGAGTGACTGTTGGATAACAGAGTGCAAGAGGCAATCAAAAACACCTGCTCCCTACCTACTTAAATTAAGTGCCAAACCATAGGGAAAGGCTTTCTTATGTCTTTACATTGTGATTATGTTACTTGTTTTGGAAATTTCGTGATTTTTTGGACAGTGAGAGAACCGTAAGTTGAGTGGATTTGAGAGACATGAGTTGTGTGGAGTGAGATGTGAGTTGGTTGTGAGTTGGTTGTGATTGTGTGAGTGCTGTGGATGCTCTGAGGTACGCGAGTTGTGTGGGGCTGCTAGTTGCTGTAGTGGAGTAGTATACTACTGCCTTGAAATGTAATAGTGTAAGTAGTGGTAGAGCATAGAACGGGATCCTCACATTACTACCTGGTCATCTTTGAGCTAACACTATTTGTTACCTGTGTATTTCGAAACGTAAACAGTATTTTTATGCATGTGAGTGCACAAATTTGTAGCTATTGACATGTCATTGTGAATTCTTTTTGTTGATGTGTCTACACTTGCACAACTACATTGGATGGGGTCTGTCCCTTTTAACGCTTAGCAAGAAACAAAAAGCATTAACTGTGATACTGTTGATGATAAGAAATGACACTGATGGAGATGTTATATCTGTCTATTGATACAGAAATACTTTGATGGTGACAACACCAGAAGTGGAAGATGTTTATGACTAGGGTTTGAATTTTTTTTGCTGAGTAAAAATTGCCAAATATTGTTCATTGCCCTTGAGAAAAAGGTGCTAGTCTATTCAAATGGGTTAGGAAGGTTGAGTGGTCAGTATGTGCTCAAAGATAACCAGGATTGTCTTGGTTTCATCCATCTCTGCGTCATCTGTCCGTACTGTCTGTTGGACATTGGCTGAACAATACATGCATCTCCTTCGCGGCTCAGTGTACATGAGGCTGGAAAGTGTGGACGCCGGAGTCGGTCGGGTTTTCTTGTCTGTCCACCCGTCCGTACGTCTAAGGTGTCACGTCGTCCATTTGTCTCACAGCTGTCACATGGCCTATAGTGACGTACTGTTCCAACCAGCACGCATATTGTTTGCCCCGTTTATAACTCAGAGATTAGGCAGCTGTAATATTGAGTATGCTCTTGTATCCTTGTGACATTAACATAGAGACAAATGGTTGGCCTAAACATGCTGTTGAAAAATTCAAGAATCTGGCAAAGTTGCTTTTTTTTGTTTGATTTGTAACCATTGATCGCATGGTGAAAGTGATAAAGCTTAAGTTTGAAGGTAGCTAGACTGAATGAGTAACTATCTTCACGGTCAGATTCTTGAATTAATTGATTCATGTGACAGTATTTGTATGTCTAATCTTGCTGCTTTGCCATCCGTCTCATTTAGGCTAGAGCTAATGGACTCCAGTCTTGTGTGGTGGTGATTCGAATACTACGGGACTTGTGCCAGAGAGTCCCCACATGGACCCCGCTCAGTGAATGGGTAGGTGGACAGTCACTGGAATGACCAACTATACTAATCCAAACTTGTTTCTCTTTAGTGAGATCTAAAATGAAATTACCTCGTGAGGATTACATGACAGAATAGACAGACAATAGTTTGTTATTGTCTCCCCTCTGTACGTAAATAAAAAACAACTTTGTACAAATAAAAATTTGTAATATGTATAGAAGCATTCAAAAGAATTAGGATCAGGTTATACTCATGAGGGGCGGTCGGGTAGCCTAGTGGTTAGAGCGTTTGCTCGTCACGCCGAAGACCCGGGTTTGATTCCTGACATAGGTACAATGTGTGAAGCCCATTTCTGGTGTTCCCCGCCGTGATATTGCTGGAATATTGCTAAAAGCAGCGTAAAGCATTTGCAGACAATATTTCTTAACTAGACATTTCAAGAATTACCAAAACAAAAAACCAAATGTGAATGAAATTCAAGGTTATTTTAAGGCATTGTGTTAAGAATTCCTTCTTCATTTCCTGTCATAAATGTTAATCATGTTGGTTATCTAGTACTTTCTTTTCATGTCCACTATACATGCTTACTGCTAGAGCCTTGGGGACCAGTTCAAAAGTTGGATTTCGTATAAAAGTTTTAAATCCTTAAGTTCACAGGTGGGAGTTTTCCTTCGGCCAAAATCAGCTTACCTGATTTCTCAATGTTTATATAGTAACTCATCTTCCTGAGGCAAGGGAGTTAACTGACTATAAAAGTCCAGTTCCACCCTTGCTGCACTAGGCTGGAATTTCTGGGCTCGATCGTAGCGCCACCAGTGGCTATTATGGCTTACGTCTATGTCCCTCCTATTGACCAATCAGATTCCACCTCTCATATCACTTGCATTTGCTTCAAACAAAATGGTAGCGCCCAGTAAAGACAGTCTGATATATAATGTTTGTCATTGTGTTTTGAGTATTACAAGGAATTCAACATCTTCTGAAGTCAGGGTGTTTTTTCTGTATCTTTCAAAACTTGATGAATGAAGTTTTTTATCCTGCATTGAACGGTCCCTTAAAAACAATACTATCACAACAATATTGAAAGAATTGTTAGAGACTAGAAACTGCCTGTATCCATACCACCAAACTTTCTATAACATGTCTTTCAACCTATTAATATCTGATATTAGAGAATGAGAAAGCAATGTTAGATATTATCTCATTCACCATTCGTCTCTCACTATGAGAAACAAGATTACGGGGTAGAATAGGTCTTCAGCAACCCATACTTGCCGTAAAAGGCGACCATGCTTGTCGTAAAAAGGCGACTAACGGGATCGGGTGGTCAGGCTCGCTGACTTGGTTGATACATGTCATCGATCCCAATTGTGTAGATCGATGCTCATGATGTCAATCACTGGATTGTCTGGCCCAGACGCGATTATTTTACAGACCGCCGTCATATAGCTGGAATATTGCTGAGTGCAGCATTAAACAACAAACAAAAACACTATGAGAAACTGTTGCATGTCTGACATTAAACTATGTTCTTGGTCATAGTCTTGATGAGAATGATAACAGAAAGATTAATGAAGGACATTGCAAAGTTTTTAATTTATTCACATAAAAAGACGTTATTTGTTTGATAAAATAAAATTACCTGATATGTCCATGTTCTTCCTTATGGCATGAAGACGCTACGTCTGTGTGTTCCTAGTGTACAGCATATGCAGATAACAGGTGTCATGACTTTCTTTGTTTTCATTTCAACCTTAATTTTTTGAATAGTTGCCTCATGATTGTGGTGTAGAACAGGTAACCATGCTTGTATTGACAACCGACTGAAATGTGGATCAGGTGGTTACAATGTGTGACCTAGTTGACTCTCGTCGCACCCTCATGTCGGTGGCTGAAGGCCCGGCCAGACATGATCATTTACAGGCCGCAGTGAAACAGCTAGAATCTTGCTGAAAATATTCACTCCTTATCTTCAGCTTTGTCATTGTATTTCTCCTGTTTTCCTATCAGGCCATGGAGCTGCTGGTAGAGAAGTGTGTAGGCAGTGGGGGTATACAGATGAGTCCCGGAGATGCTCTGCGCCGGGTCTTTGAATGTATTTCATCAGGAATCCTGCTGCCAGGTGAGGAAAAGATCTGTACCATTTACCTGCACCAGGTGCATGTTGACATTAAAACTAGTTGCACCAAAATAAGGTTGCACTCTTGTCCCATAAATTTATCAAAGATGAAACAGGTGCATAAAGTGAATAAGTACATCTCAGACGACTGTATCATAAGTTAACATAAAAATTGCTGTAAAATGAAATAGGATGAGCACTTGATCTTGAAGTACCCACAGCTTAATAACGTCAAGCCCAAGAAAGGTTGGCAAATTACATAATACACAGGGATTACTGATGTGGTATGGTACATAAAGCTTGGAGGTATTCACTGTCTTCAAAGATCGTTGTTGTGTGGAAAAGTAAGGGTTAGTCGGACACAAATTTGAATTTTATTTAACCCGAATTTGTTGCTGTAGAAATCTGTTAGGTTGCACTTTCCAATGATAGGTTGCAGTGATGCATGTTTTTTATGGCTAAATGGAGCCCTGCTATCCATTGGCTGCTTGGGAAGCCTGTCAATGTGAAGGGCTGCATTCACCGAGTTGCATGTCATCATCTAGCCATGATCCATTGACAGTGGGTCCAAACACCGATTCTTCCTGATATGATCATGGTGGTCCTTGATCTGTCAGCGCTATACCTGCTGTCATGGGTTATGCCGATATTGGAAGCGTCCGACTCACTTTGGGCTTTCATTCATGGGTATTCCATGTAAGAATAGGACCCCCGGCAACCTATGCTGGTTGTTAGAGGCGACCAAATGGTGGTCAGGCTAGTCGACTTGGTTGATTGTGTATCATTATATCCCGACAATGTGAATTGTAGCTAGCATTATCGAGTACTTGATTGCCTGGTCCAGACGTAATTATTTACTTGCCATCATTTTACAGCTGGAATATTGTGGTGTCGTTAAACAACAACCAAACAATACTTTGGTACTTCTTCCCACATTGATCTGGGTTATGACTGCACGAAGTGGTGTCTTGATTTCCTTATTCTGAGATTCCCTTTATTATATAGTTAAACACTGTGGGGATTACAGGTTAGAATGGGTCTCCAGCCGTGAGACCTCATGGATTGGGTGGTCATGCTCTGATAGCATGACGGCAGAGCCCGATGCGTGGACCGTTACTCACAATATCTTGTCCAGGTTCAATTGGGTGCAGGCTGCCATGGTATGGCTGGAATATTGCTGAGAGTGGCATTAAACAACAAAGAAACAAGCTCTGATCATAATCATTTGTTGTAGGCGGCCCTGGACTGTATGACCCTTGTGAAAAGGAAGCATTTGATGCTGCTCAGTCGCTGACCAATCAACAGAGAGAGGAAATCACAGCCTCAGCTCAGGTGCGTACTTCCGAGGGAGCTACTACTGGCTACTTTATTGGACTAGTCACTACCCTTTCTTTGTTTGAGAATATCTATGTTAAGGTTGTTACATGGTTAACTATCTTTTCTTGGCGCACAAGGGCCATTCATACACAATGAAGTTGAAATATGTCACAAGTTTAGCTTTGAAAGTAATGTCTTTTAAGTAAAGCCTGAGGTTTGGGATAGTTGGATGAGGTAACTTCACTTATTGGCCAGATTGCAGCTTTAGTTCATTCAAACTTACCATGTTAACTTAACTTTCAACAATGGCCAATAGGACTGCATACGACTCGTCAACGCAGTTTGAGATATGTCTTGCAGATTATATTTTTGACAAAGAAAGTAAACTACAAGTTCTCTGCCAGCAGGGCAGGCACAATGATATAAGTACCTGGTCCATAATGAAGTCTTTATGTTGTTGCAGCATGCCCTCAGGCTGATCGCATTCCGTCAAATCCATAAAGTCCTGGGCATGGACCCTCTTCCTCCACCACGGTTTCAGAGACAGAAGTTCAACCCTCGCAAGAGACGGCGAACCAGCTCAGCTGGAGGGGAGGGGGATGGTGAAGGTGGGTGTCAGGAATCAGTATGTGTGATGCTGCAAACCCAATGTTTTACTTCTTCTTTCACATCGCCGCGAAAAGCTGCAAAATTGCTGATACGGCGTTAGGCAATATTCATTCACTCACTTGTTTCACAACCTCCTCCGTGGTCCAGTTATAAGATCGTCTGTCTGGTGAGGGGAAGGTCAGTGGTGTGATCCCCGGCCATGTCATACCCAAAAAACATTAAAAGATGGTGCTGCTGTAACCCTGCCTGACGTTCAGGATTAAGGGGCTAACACAAGGACTGGTCGGCTCGGAGTCAGTATACTGTGTCTGAGTGGGGTATTCATGTTAAACTGAGGCATGGTATCTCAGGAAGCTAGCACTATCCAACCTGCAACCACAAATGCACGTCGCTGTATAAGTGAAACAATCTTGAACGTGGCATTAAAACCAATTTTACCTCACCGCCTGTTTGACAGATTCGAGGGCAAATTACCGCCAAGCAAGGTGGGAAGGATAAAAAAAAATTATTCAACTTATATTATCAGTGTAGAATATATTTTTTTACCTTCAAACTAATATCAGTATGGTCTGAATGTTCCGTAAGTCCTCAGTCTACAGATAATGTCCTGTTTTGTATGAAGTCCTCAGTCTACAGATAATGTCCTGTTTTGTATGAAGTCCTCAGTCTACAGATAATGTCCTGTTTTGTATGAAGTCCTCAGTCTACAGATAATGTCCTGTTTTTTATGAAGTCCTCAGTCTACAGATAATGTCCTGTTTTGTATGAAGTCCTCAGTCTACAGATAATGTCCTGTTTTGTATGAAGTCCTCAGTCTACAGATAATGTCCCGTTTTGTATGAAGTCCTCAGTCTACAGATAATGTCCCGTTTTGTATGAAATCCTCAGTCTACAGATAATGTCCCGTTTTTTATGAAGTCCTCAGTCTACAGATAATGTCCTGTTTTGTATGAAGTCCTCAGTCTACAGATAATGTCCTGTTTTGTATGAAGTCCTCAGTCTACAGATAATGTCCCGTTTTGTATGAAGTCCTCAGTCTACAGATATTGTCCCGTTTTTTATGAAGTCCTAAGTCTACAGATAATGTCCTGTTTTGTATGAAGTCCTCAGTCTACAGATAATGTCCTGTTTTGTATGAAGTCCTCAGTCTACAGATAATGTCCTGTTTTGTATGAAGTCCTCAGTCTACAGATAATGTCCTGTTTTTTTATGAAGTCCTCAGTCTACAGATAATATCCTGTTTTGTATGAAGTCCTCAGTCTACAGATAATATCCTGTTCCTTTACAGCAGGTGAGAAGAAGGATAAGAAGGATGGTGATGAGGGAGCTTCTATGGACACTGCGGACAATTGATGGTGTTGTGTAGACTAGCATGTTTGTTATAGAGGAGATAATACACAGTTACGTCACTTGGACTGTCGGCGGCACTGGATGCAAGTGAATGGATGGCATGACATTGATTCTTATCCTTGACCATCTGTCTGTATCTTCTGGTAATTTGGCACTAATAGCTACGACGATAACCTAGGTTTGTTGTGCTGTATGACAATACCATAGGCCTGTTGTGCTGTATTACAAAGAACTAATTGATGTGTCGGGCTTCTGTAAGTGTGAGGCTGGGTCAAGACCAGGGAAGCCTTACCTGTAGCCTGCCTGCACAGGTTGGAAGATCCGATTCCTTACTACCTGTTGAATCTTGGTATCATGAGCTAATCACTAATTACTTTCCATTTGTGTGTATAACTGATCATGAAATTCATTTTTATCACACGACATTAATGTTGTGGTTAATGTTCTATTTTTATGTTGTTTTCATTTCGTTTAGTACTTTTAGTGGGATGAAAAAAATGACAACAATGTCCAACATTGTCCAACATTTTAACATTTTTCATTGATTTCAATATTTTCCTATCATTTGTTAAAAAAATATAATTATCAAGTCTCAGACCTTGCCACAAGTTTGAAATGTATTCTGTATGCCTAACAAGGCTCAACTTTATTGTGTAGTATTTTGATAAGACCTATTTTTGGAGAAAATTACCATGTCACAGAATTTGTTGTTACTCGATAAAAGATCTAGCTGAACGCAGAAACTTTGACGGACTGCATTTATGTCAGTGTATATGCTGTGGAGATATGTATTGTCTGTCATTGCTACTTTGTGTATACTTAGCTGTCGGCATCAGGTTGCGTTTACTTCCTGGTTCACATTGCCACTTTGAAATGAACTTCCGTTTAAACATTGTGTACATTGAGCTTCATGTGTTCATTATTTATGATAGAATTACTTAAGTTTCAGGGTTTATGCTTCTGTGTAAACATGTATTTATAGATCATCTATCTGCATGGACATATTTTCATAATCTCTGTATTAAGATGTATCATAAAGATAACTTCAAAATGTCTCGTCTTCGACGTGGAAGACCTAGAGCAGTTTTCCTTTCTGATTACGTTACGCTCTTGTTTTCAATCTTTGTAAATTATCCTTTGGGAAGTATTTGTTTGCAGTATGCATGATGCTGACAATGGTGGCCAGCATAGCAGTCTGAGAGCTTACTGGTTTGAATGTAAGGCTTACAGCTGTGTAGTGCCTGACTCAGCAGTACAAAACTAGTTCAAATTGAGCAACCACCTTGTGTGTTTGTGCTGTTGCGGTCTGTACATGTGGAAAATGTTGATGTGCTTTTATCCAAGTAAACTCATGAGCACTTCACTTCCGTGTTTGTATTTTTTGGCTTTGTGCCATTTCCAATTGGAAGAAGTAGCATCCTGATGTACCTTGAAGATATTTATATCCCAATCATTTTATAGGACACTTTGACAGGCAGTCTGTGAATTAAGTCACTAGTCTGTATCTCAGTTATAGTAAGATTTTATTTGGTCTTATAGGTTTGTTATAAAAAGTTCATATATACTTAACAGCGAAAGAAACGTCACCATGGATAAATATATGAGAAACCTTATTTTTCCAAACACTGTAAACATACTTTGAGACACATTAAAAAAATGAAACTTAGCAAATCTAATCAAGGGTGCAATTAAAGTGTCAAATGTTCTTAAGTGAAACACAACACTAGTCTCTAAGAAAAGTATGTTTACAGTGTTCGGACAATATATCTATCCATGGTGATGTTTCTTTTGCAGTTCAGTATATAAATGACGTTCTCAAAGTGAACTTTTGAAACTTGGAATAGAAGCAACTCTTTGCTACTTTTATTTTTTGTGTTGCGATATAGGATTCGCCTCCACTATATATATTTAATATATATAGCAGGGAGCTGTGTTTATGTTTGAGAAAGTACATGGCATGAAAACCTGCAACAATGGCAAGCACACAGACGGCCTGTTTTTTGTGAAGTTTGGTGTTGGTGCAACCTTGGTCGTTAAGGTGGACATAAGTGGGACCTGAAAGAAGAAAAGCCGAATACTATCCTCGGTGATCCTCTCAGCGATAAGAGTTAAAGTGCCTTTGTGCCACAAAAAGCGTGACTCCAACCTACACTTCCTTCAAACTTCCTTTCATCAACCGGCCGTGGAGATCCGGGGTAGAATAGGTCTTCAGCAACCCATGCTTGTCCTAAAAGGTGACTATGCTTGTCGTAAAAGGCGACTAACGGGATCGGGTGGTCAGGCTCGCTGACTTGGTTGATGCATGATCCCAGTTGTGTGGATCGATGCTCATGTTATAGCTGGAATATTGCTGAGTGCAGCGTTAAACAACAAACAAACATTCATCATCCGACACCTGGTTCACTTGCAATGAGCCAATTTGGTAACATTTACAGTGATTCCATCTCTTCGAACATATTTTTTGTCATTTCATAATTCATATATATATGTGTATGCGAAGCGGATTGGGTAGCCAAATATTAACCGGTCAGTTACCACTATTAAAATATGCTCCAGTGCGTGCTACGATCTACGGTCTTATTTCAAGAGAATTTGAGACTACTGGTTTATATTTATTTTGCAGAAACCTCATTTTAATCAATGCTTATAATATTAAATAGTTTGGAAATTTGCGTAACATCTTTTAGATGTATGTTCTACTAGGTTGAATGTTATTATCCTATTTTCGTTTATCAGAGAAAATCGGAAAAAAACATTTGATATTAAATCCATGTAAATATTGTAGTGTTACATGTCGATTCCCAATTTGAAACAATATGTAAACCCAGAAATCTGTACGTAAATGAACCTAGTGTGGAACAAACAAGCAACCAACAAATGGTATACAATTAAGTTTTATTACAGAATTAACTAGGTTTACAAATCAACAACAACTTACTGCATAGCCATTACAATGGCAGTACGCAGTAGAGTGGTCGTCAATGATAATAGTATATTCACCAAGCTTCCGAGATGGGTCTAGGCAGGGAATCAGGGGTGGTGAGCGATCTTCACACGAAAGCTGGTCTTGATGGAATGAAATGTGTAAGAGACGAAATGTGTGAGGTACGTAAACACGCTCTTATATACAGGCTAACTAGCTACTGGAAATTCCTACACAGTGCCCTCGCCAGTCGAGCGGTACTAGAACATAACAGAATATTCCATATCAGTCCATGGTATACCGGAAGTTTACACACCACACTAGCATCTATAATATAATAACTTCCTGACGACTGCTTAACTAAATAGTACTACATTCCTGACAACTAATCTCTGTCCAAATACAATGCAATGAGCCTCAACCCAATCTTAACAGAAAAAATGTAACAGTTACAATCATGTTCACCAATAAAATGCTCTACAATATAACAGAAGGAATTTATCATACGAAGCTTTTAAAATGAAATCTGCTTCATTAAGCGAAGGATATTTTTCATGTCTTTCCTGTAAAATTTAAGCTTTACTAGATCAGGTCCATCGTTCGTTCTCATTAAATTCATAGTGAGTGAGTTGGGTTTAGTGCCGCTTTTAACAGTATTCCAGTTATATCGCGGCGTGTCAGCTTAATGTGGGAGGAAAGCCCTAAGTGATGCAGGTCCCAGACGTTTACCACTTCAGTGAAACCCACGAGCACGGGTATGGTGCTGACAAACCTAGAAACATAATCAGGGCGAACCGGGATTCGAACCCACAACCTTAGGTTTCTGGCGTGCCCAAGGGACGCAACTCTGCACAGCGAATCGCGGCGCCTTAGACGACTGGGCCACCCTATTTAATTACCTAAAGGGCAAGCTGTTTCAACACATTTACTTTGCAGGTTTTTAAACTTATGGGCATACTTAATCACATATGCTTGACTAAAAATAAATTTGAAAAACGGAAATAGCGTAAATCAGACCATAGAAAACGACAGGGGAAAATTCCCCCAAACGAAAAATTCCGCCACTTTGGGGATTCCTCTTACTGGGGTTAAAACGGGTTCCCGGCGTTTAACGCAATTTCAGCGATGTTGACGATCGGACCGACGCCCAGTCTGCCTGCTTCTGTCTCGGTTTTGTTAATACGTTACCTCTTTTTTTCATCCATTTGATTGGCGTGTCCACAACTTATGTCACCTCGGTAACAACACTGAAGATGATTTCAGTAGCTCTCTCAGGGGATTAATCCATGACAGGGCCGAGGGCAGCTGGTGTTTTATTACCCAAACAGAATGTCAGTAATAACACGCTAGTTACGGACTGTTAATTGTTATTTTAAATTTTCGTTTTCACAACAATGTATGCAATGATGTTATTTTTGTAGGATTAACAAAAATAGCAGAAACAGTATATGTATAATACACAAAGGCGGCAAAAATATCAGCCAATGAAAACAGCTTTAGGTATGCGCCCCCAAATACGTTTGTTTTGGAAGTCGATTACGGAGCATTCAGCACTTTCACTTGGATATTTAAGTATCTCTTCGAATATTATCCATTTTTAATTTAAATTGATCAAATGTACCTCGGAAAATTGATTCTCTCAACAAAATCATCTTTGTTATTTTGCTTGCCCTTTAGGAAAAACTCCCCTTCTCTCCAGAATTCAGTGTATTTATTTCAGCTTAGTTCGAACACAAATGATTATATCACGCAAAATGCGTGGAACTTACGTGACCATCATGCATAGATTGTCAACATGTGTGGATATTGGCACACCACAACACACGTGATTTGATTGATTGCATTGTCCGCGTATCCTAATTCAGGTGATCGATGCTCATGGTGTCAATTACTGGACTGTCTGGTCCAGACGCGATTATTTACAGACCGCCGTGATACAACTGAAATATGCTGAGTGCGCTGTAAAACAACATACAAAACAACATAACTCGCAGACGCACATGAAGGGTGTATGTGGTAGGCCGGGCTGGTGCTCCTATGCCGTGTGTTCAGCACCACCACTTGCAGCACGCCTACAGCAGAGGGCAAGGAACCTCTTCCTGACCGGCGGTAGTTTGAAGGCATATATGACGGGGTTGATCACGGAGTTGCAGTAAGTCATGACGCTGGTGTAGATGACGAAGTTGTTAGCAGAAGTTGGTGTCATCATAGCTGACCCGCCAGACATGTAGATAGTTACGACCAATGCTGCAAGAAAGGCAGAAGTATATTTACAGAACAGAATATCCACTTGACGCGTTTCTCCAGATACTTCTGTTCCCAAAGGTGTCCCCGCTGTAACAATGCTGGAATATTGCTAAAAGCGGCGTAAATTCATGCTCACCGTTAATAAGGGGGATACGGATGGCCCAGTTGTCTGAGGCGCCGCGATTCGCTGTGCAGAGTTGTGTCCCTTGGTCACGCCAGAACCCATGATTGTGGGTTCAAATCCCTGTTCGCCCCGATTATGTTTCTAGGTTTGTCAGCACCATACCCGTGCTCGTGGGTTCCACCGAAGTGGTTAACGTCTGAGACCTGCATCACTTCGGGCTTTCCTCCCACATTTAGCTGACACGCTGTGATATAACTGGAATACTTTTAAAGTCGGCGTTAAACCCAACTCACTCACTCACCGTAAATATATGACGTCAACGTCAAAGACCAATCAGTCTCGACAGATTCCACTGGGATAAAATTAAAAATAGTGGTGACAATTATATGAATGGATCACTGAAACTATTACAGCAATATCACGGCGGGGGAACCAGAAATGGACTTCACACATTGTGCCCATGTGGGAAATAGAACCCGGGCCTTCGGCATGACTAGCGAACGCTTTAACCACCAAGCTACCCCACCGCCCCTGAAAATCAGTGATGACACCAGGTGTTCGCGAAAAGGGTAAGCACGCACTGCTTTACTCGGAGCACCCACTACTCTCACGATCTGCATCTACTCGCGTTCATGCATGTCTTATATTCCAGTTAAACAGTTTCGCCGTGCAGAGTCGCGTCCCTTAGCCATGGCTGGATCTGCTGGTCGCGGGTTTGAATCCCAGATTCGCCTGATTATCATCTGTGGTTTGTGAGCACCATATCCTTGCTTTCAGGTTTCAGACCAACGACCTGCTTTACACTTGATTTAAATTTTACATTCAGCTGGTATATTGTCAGGTAAGTGGCATTAGGCCCAATTCACTACTATGTTCAAAACGGAGGATAGATATCGGTAACTTTGAGAACAGTCAGACCTGCCCTCAGCTAATAGTGTTATTCCCATGGGATGGAAACTTCTCTCCAATGCATTGATCACTGCAAAGCCAAAGCTTAAAATCTAACATTTGCATAGAGACCATGCTATTTGTACACATTTCCAAAACAGCCAATTTGCTTCTGTTTGTAATACGATAAGAGTGTGATGTTTTTATTGATCACTAATTTATACATCAGATTGGTTATGAAAAACATCAATATTGCAAACATGCAGGCTTAATGGAAAATATAGGTGCTGTTATTGTACTGCTAATGATTAAAAGCATATCCTTCTGAACGATTTAGCATGAAGCGGATCTGTCTGTCACACTCATTACATAAAGCACGTTATGTTATCACCTGCGCCCCCCAGCCCTGTCTGTCCTGTTCCAGCTTTTGCATGGCATCAATATTCGCACGGTAACAACGCTCGGGATGTTGTTCTTATGCACAATACATTGTAATATTTGTTCCGAGAAAGATGAACCTTTCAACACACCATGGCTATAATAATAAAACCTCAACGCCAGAAAATATCCGAAGACACAGGTTCCTTTGGGCGCAAAAGGCAAAGAAGTGGAGAAAAATATGTCAATGGGCCACTGAAAATCAGTGACACCAGGCGTTCCCGAAAGGCTAAGAATGTCATACCCTACCGGTAGCACCCGATAGTCTCACAATGTGTATCAGAAAGTATGTGTTTGTCGCCTGAGACCGCAACACTCCTGACATGCGACGGCGGCATGTAAACGTACCATGGAGCACTGACAATCAGTGTCGCCTGAGTCCGCAACACTCCTGACATGCGACGACGGCATGTAAACATACCATGGATCACTGACAATCAGTGTCGCCTGAGGCCGCAACACTCCTGACATGCGACGACGGCATGTAAACATACCATGGATCACTGACAATCAGTGTTGCCTGAGGCCGCAACACTCCTGCCATGCGACGAGGGCATGTAAACATACCATGGATCACTGACAATCATTGTCGCCTGAGGCCGCAACACTCCTGCCATGCGACGACGGCATGTAAACATACCATAGATCACCGACAATCGGTGTCGCCTGAGGCCGCAACACTCCTGACATGCGATGACGGCATGTTAACATACCATGGATCACTGACAATCAGTGTCGCCTGAGGCCGCAACACTCCTGACTCCCGACATGCGATGACGGCATGTAAACGTACCATGGATCACTGACAATCAGTGTCGCCTGAGGCCGCAACACTCCTGACAAGCGACGACGGCATGTAAACGTACCATGGATCACTGACAATCAGTGTCGCCTGAGGCCGCAACACTCCTGCCATGCGACGACGGCATGTAAACGTACCATGGAGCACTGACAATCATTGTCGCCTGAGGCCGCAACACTCCTGACATGCGATGACGGCATGTTAACATACCATGGATCACTGACAATCAGTGTCGCCTGAGGCCGCAACACTCCTGACTCCCGACATGCGATGACGGCATGTAAACGTACCATGGATCACTGACAATCAGTGTCGCCTGAGGCCGCAACACTCCTGACAAGCGACGACGGCATGTAAACGTACCATGGATCACTGACAATCAGTGTCGCCTGAGGCCGCAACACTCCTGCCATGCGACGACGGCATGTAAACATACCATTGATCACCGACAATCAGTGTCGCCTGAGGCCGCAACACTCCTGCCATGCGACGACGGCATGTAAACATACCATTGATCACCGACAATCATTGTTGCCTGAGACCGCAACACTCCTGCCATGCGACGACGGCATGTAAACATACCATTGATCACCGACAATCCGTGTTGCCCGAGGCCGCAACACTCCTGACATGCGACGACGGCATGTTAACATACCATGGATCACTGACAATCAGTGTCGCCTGAGGCCGCAACACTCCTGCCATGCGACGACGGCATGTTAACATACCATGGATCACTGACAATCAGTGTCGCCTGAGGCCGCAACACTCCTGACAAGCGACGACGGCATGTAAACATACCATGGATCACTGACAATCAGTGTCTCCCGAGGCCGCAACACTCCTGACAAGCGACGACGGCATGTAAACGTACCATGGATCACTGACAATCAGTGTCGCCTGAGGCCGCAACACTCCTGCCATGCGACGACGGCATGTTAACGTACCATGGATCACTGACAATCAGTGTCGCCTGAGGCCGCAACACTCCTGCCATGCGACGACGGCATGTAAACATACCATGGATCACTGACAATCGGTGTTGCCTGAGGCCGCAACACTCCTGACATGCGATGACGGCATGTTAACATACCATGGATCACTGACAATCAGTGTCGCCTGAGGCCGCAACACTCCTGACTCCCGACATGCGACGACGGCATGTAAACGTACCATGGATCACTGACAATCAGTGTCGCCTGAGGCCGCAACACTCCTGACAAGCGACGACGGCATGTAAACGTACCATGGATCACTGACAATCAGTGTCGCCTGAGGCCGCAACACTCCTGACAAGCGACGACGGCATGTAAACGTACCATGGATCACTGACAATCAGTGTCTCCCGAGGCCGCAACACTCCTGCCAAGCGACGACGGCATGTAAACGTACCATGGATCACTGACAATCAGTGTCGCCTGAGGCCGCAACACTCCTGACTCCCGACATGCGACGACGGCATGTAAACGTACCATGGATCACTGACAATCAGTGTCGCCTGAGGCCGCAACACTCCTGACAAGCGACGACGGCATGTAAACGTACCATGGATCACTGACAATCAGTGTCGCCTGAGGCCGCAACACTCCTGACAAGCGACGACGGCATGTAAACGTACCATGGATCACTGACAATCAGTGTCTCCCGAAGCCGCAACACTCCTGACAAGCGACGACGGCATGTAAACGTACCATGGATCACTGACAATCAGTGTCGCCTGAGGCCGCAACACTCCTGACTCCCGACATGCGACGACGGCATGTAAACGTACCATGGATCACTGACAATCAGTGTCGCCTGAGGCCGCAACACTCCTGACTCCCGACATGCGACGACGGCATGTAAACGTACCATGGATCACTGACAATCAGTGTCGCCTGAGGCCGCAACACTCCTGATTCCCGACATGCGACGACGGCATGTAAACGTACCATGGATCACTGACAATCAGTGTCGCCTGAGGCCGCAACACTCCTGACAAGCGACGACGGCATGTAAACGTACCATGGATCACTGACAATCAGTGTCGCCTGAGGCCGCAACACTCCTGACAAGCGACGACGGCATGTAAACGTACCATGGATCACTGACAATCAGTGTCTCCCGAAGCCGCAACACTCCTGACAAGCGACGACGGCATGTAAACGTACCATGGATCACTGACAATCAGTGTTGCCTGAGGCCGCAACACTCCTGCCATGCGACGACGGCATGTAAACATACCATGGATCACTGACAAGCAGTGTCGCCTGAGGCCGCAACACTCCTGACATGCGATGACGGCATGTTCACATACCATGGATCACTGACAATCAGTGTCGCCTGAGGCCGCAACACTCCTGACTCCCGACATGCGATGACGGCATGTAAACGTACCATGGATCACTGACAATCAGTGTCTCCTGAGGCCGCAACACTCCTGACAAGCGACGACGGCATGTAAACGTACCATGGATCACTGACAATCAGTGTCGCCTGAGGCCGCAACACTCCTGACTCCCGACATGCGACGACGGCATGTAAACGTACCATGGATCACTGACAATCAGTGTCGCCTGAGGCCGCAACACTCCTGACTCCCGACATGCGACGACGGCATGTAAACGTACCATGGATCACTGACAATCAGTGTCGCCTGAGGCCGCAACACTCCTGATTCCCGACATGCGACGACGGCATGTAAACGTACCATGGATCACTGACAATCAGTGTCGCCTGAGGCCGCAACACTCCTGACAAGCGACGACGGCATGTAAACGTACCATGGATCACTGACAATCAGTGTCGCCTGAGGCCGCAACACTCCTGACAAGCGACGACGGCATGTAAACGTACCATGGATCACTGACAATCAGTGTCTCCCGAAGCCGCAACACTCCTGACAAGCGACGACGGCATGTAAACGTACCATGGATCACTGACAATCAGTGTTGCCTGAGGCCGCAACACTCCTGACAAGCGACGACGGCATGTAAACATACCATGGATCACTGACAATCAGTGTCGCCTGAGGCCGCAACACTCCTGCCATGCGACGACGGCATGAAAACATACCATGGAATCTGTTTCGGCAGATAATCGAGGCCGATTTGTTTTTCTGGCGTTGACGTTCTATATTAAAGTTCGTCCATGAGGGTTGAAACTTTGCGTGAACAGGATAATGACAACCAGTTTCTTTCCGTTGTGCTCGCGTCACAACATGGAGGACGTTCAACTTCGACTATTGTAGGTGAAGTTGCCACGTTATGAAGACGGTTTCTCAAAAACTGAAAAAAACTTTTGTTTTAAGCGAAAAGCAAACCTGTTGAAACCTTACATGGGTCATTGACACGGTGAGGTGGTTTGATTTATCTAAAGACATTGATATTGAAAATGTAGTAAGTGACAACAAACTATTCCAAATCAAATTCATATATCAAGGGTGGACTTCTCAGAGGACACACGGTCAAGACAGATGAACCACCGCGAAGGGGATATTTGTTATTATTTCTGTCAGTACTGTACATTAGCTTATCATCAATTTAAGCAGGGCAGAGAATGCATAGGTTTGTAGAAAGCACACATTAGACGTTTGAATGTCATCTTCCCGAAGCAAGAGAGTTAACTGACTTTAAAAGTCCAGTTTCCACCCTTGCCGAACTTGGCTGGAATTACTGGGCTCGATCGTAGCGCCACCAGTGGCTATTACCAGTTATGTCCCTTCTAAGCCTCTCCTATGGACCAATCAGATTCCACCTCTCGTATCACTTGCGTTTGCTTCACCCAAAATGTTGGCGCCCAGTCAGGGCGATCTGATCGATAATCAAGATCTATATTGTGATAAAAATCAAATTAAATCACGTGAGCACCTTGATTAAAAACATGAAAAGATTTGGAAAATATCTGCTGACAACGAGTTAGCGGTGCACATGCTTTGCAAATCCTGATATCGACCGAAATCTGCACACGACAGTTTACGAACCGAATTTCGAATTCGGTGCGAGATTTTGATTGAACTATGCATAGACTCGTTAGTCCAGCCAAAATGTAACTCCATAATACCAGCCTAGTTCGGCAAGGGTGGAAACTGGACTTTTATAGTTAGTTAACTCACTTGCCTTGGGAAGATGTTTGAATGTGGGACCTCATTACACTTTTATAAACATTTTCCGAAACTGCAATTTGTACATGGTGCTGCCTTGTCAGGTCCTGATCTCAGTTCCGTATTTTTCACATGTGTTCAGAACATAACTGGCTTCAGTCATACTTGGTTTTGAGTGCGTATTTATGCACCTAGTTAGCTACGCGTTGAGGTGGAGACAAGCCTTGTATGAGGTTGTTTAACCTTAACACACTTGCTACATATCTACATAGGCACATTTCTTGAACTCCTAGCACTATCATTCACCTTTCATGGTACAGCGGGGGACCTCAAGGGCCTTAAGCTTTGGGAATCCATGTCGAATACGCATCTGAATTTTTGGCATGATTGAACAGCTATTCATCGATAAGGCTAATAATAAGAGTATACCGTTTGTAAATAAAAACATATCCTTTTAAAGACAGTCGATATCAAATATTGGCATCAACAATTAGTTGTTGATATTCAATGTAACCAGGCGAGCCACAACGATGTGAGACCCGTGAAGATCCGGGGTAGAATAGGTCTTCAGCAACCCATACTTGCCGTAAAAGGAGACTATGCTTGTCATAAGAGGCGACTAACGGGATCGGGCGGTCAGGGTCGCTGACTTGGTTGATACATGTCATCAATCCAAATTGCGTGGATCGTTGCTCATGATGTCAATCACTGGATTGTCTGGCCCAGACTCGATTATTTTACAGACCGCCGTCATATAGCTGTAATATTGCTAAATGCGGCGTTAAACAACAAACAAACAAACAAACAACGATGTGACGTGTTTTTGTATTAGAGCCTTTAAATGAACTTAACATCGAGTGTTCTTGAATTGGAAACTAATAACGTCACTTCAGCACTTAAAACAGATATTAAAAACAAATTGTTCACAGGTCCTGCTTGATGTCCTGGGTTGTAATAAACATCTAATCGCTCGACTCTCACCCTGCACAGACAAAATGCGCCTTTTGAAAGAGTGACTGACTGACTCACTGTCGGCTAAAGTCAACTTACCCAGTGGTAGAATTGTGACTAGGTAGGCGCCAATCAGAAACATCACAGTCTTGGCAAACTTCAGGCTGTTCCTAGTCTCGCTCTTGCTGTTTACTTCTGTGGCAGCTATGGCCCTCGTATGTCTCCGGGCAACGAGATATATCCGGGTGTACATCGTAACGATGACACCAACAGGGATGTAAAACGTCACCAAGCCAAATATTATGAACTCGTTGGAGAGGACTGTAAATAGTGAACACGGAGGCTCTGAAGGTTTGGGTACTTTCCTCCAACCGTAGACAGGAAGGAGGCCGAGGTTGACTGAGAAGACCCAGATAGCAGCCGACATGATGGACACGGTCTTCCTGGTGATGACATCCTGGTAGCGGTAAGGATAGACAATCTGCACGAACCTGTCCAATGTTAGGAGGGTAAGGTGGTACACGGAACCACACAAAAAGATGAAGGTCCCACCAAGCCGAATGAGACACTCGGCAGAGTTCACGAAGAAAGCAATATGGTGGACAACGTTGTGAATGACCAACAGCCCCGTCAGCATGTCGGTGACGGCAAGGTGGCACATCACCAGATCTGTGGCCTCCAGACTCGTCCTCTTCACCAAGGTATCCAGAACAAAGGCGTTCGAGGACAGAGCAAGAATTCCTATTACCAAAATAACGCCGTTCACCGCCAACGACGTCGCTGTTACGCCATGACCATTCAACGTCGTGAATAGTATTAACGCTGCACTGCTAACAGTGTTATTTGCCATACTGCCATTCGCTCCCGTCTTAATCAGAGTCAGAAGCAATTGTGAAGCTCTCACATCGTCCTCATATGGTGTTTAGTTTGAATTTGCCATGTTAATTAGCCGACACAAACAGGAGCGGGTCTATCTGTAAATAATCTGAGACTCCATACAAACACGAACAAGCTCGCATACATACCCTCATTTGTGGATAATCGAATAACGCTCTGAAACCCTATGTTTGGTCAATGCATACGTATGATTTATGGCATCTTCTGTGTGACGGCGAGCTTTGTTTTGGAAGGGTTGGGCAGGTGCTTTGTAACTGTAGTCTTCAATTCACAATACCAGGCCAATTTCCAATGCAATACATCAATGTTTATGTGGATGTTAACATAGTCGACCACTCCACAATATCCCGTTCTCCTGATCGTTCATCAACAGAGGGACACGAACAGAGAATCGTATTCCACACCACCACGGATATGACAATGTAGAGCAAAGCACAAAGCTAATACAGCTGTTTTCACCAGCACTGGCACTTAACGCATGTCTTCCTTTGAATACCGAATATGTCTGCTAATGGTATTGAAGGTAATATTTGACCTCTAGCGGCACTGGCGGATGTGTCATCCAAGCCGAATCACTTTGAGCAGAGTTGTGTTCTTCAAGTGCCAGTAGACTGGAGTCAAATGTTTGCAATGATTGTTTCTTGGTCTGCAAGCAACATACCCGTGTAAAGAAAGAAGCGACTAACGGGAACGGGTGGTCAGACTCGCTGACTTAGTTCATGCATGTTATCGTATCCCAATTGTGTAGATCGATGCTCACGATGTCAATCACTGGATAGTCTTGTCGCTGTTATATAGCTGAACTTTTGATGAGTGCGGCGTTAAACAACAAACAAACAAACAAACAAACAAGGAATGTTAGTCCATATCAGTTTTGTTTTATCCACATTAACTCTCAAACAAACAAAAAATACACGATAAAAACTTTCCAAAGTGTTTAAAACCGCACAGAAGCATTTAAGTCATGTAAGCAATATATCATCAGCGAATCGAGCCAATACATATTTCACATTTCCTTGATTAATTCCCTTTATTTTATTATTGATACACACCATAAAACCTAAAACTTGTACACAAAATAAGAAGATGTAAGGGAGCTATAGCTATCCTCGCTCTGTTATGTAAGATTGCGAGGCAAATCCATTGACGTAACACTCTCGAATCCATGTCAGTGTAAAGAGTTTCTAACCATTGTAGTTGTATAATTTTGTCTATCCACCGAATCGAAAGCTTTCTCAAAATCAACTAAAAGTAGTAAGCCGGGAATCTGAAACGTTTCAGTATGTTCCAAGACATCGTAGTCTACTAACTTCTCCAAAATACCTACCAACAAGAAAACCTTGTTGATCTTCACTTACACCAGGTTGTTGTACAAAGGCATTGAAAACTGTTCTTGTCATGTCACATACAGCCACAAGGTTCGGTATCTCGTGTGACCGCCCCGGGCAGCAATCACGGCTCTGCATCTCCTCGGCACTAACTGGATAAGTGTACGAATTCTTGCCTGCGGAATTCTGCGGAATTCTGCGGAATTCTGCTTGTAACGCGTTGACCATTTGTGGAAGTGTCTACGGCGTGTTCTGACGCTGACGTACACGTCGATCGAGTTCCTCCCAGCAATGTTCAACTTGGTTGAGATCTGGAGATCTCGACGGCCAGGGCAAGACGTTGATGTTGGCATTATGAAGGTAGCCTACCGTGACACGAGCTGTGGTGCGGTGAGCGTTGTCCTGTTGAAACAGCTCCCTCTGGTGGACAATGATTGGAAGAAGGTGAGGTTGAAGAATTTGATTCATGTAGCGATTTGCTGTCAATTTCCCCTGAACCACAACCAAGTCAGATCTTGTGGTGTAGGATATGACCCATCACACCATGACACTACCGCCACTGAATTTGTCGAATTCACGTACACTATGTGGGGCAAAACGCTTATTTCGCTGACGATAAACTCGTTGGATCCCATCTTGCCGGTGAAGAAAAAGAATCGCGATTCATCGCTAAACCACACTCATCTCCAGTTTCTCAAATTCGCTGTCGATGGATTTTTGTTGCAAAACAGGGACGATAACTGGTCTTCTGGGTCGGATTCCAGCTTCGCGAAGATGGTTCCTGACAGTCTGGTCCGATATCCTCCTCAAACCAGAGATGCGTCTTGCAGTCTCCGTCGCTGTGGCATTGCGATGACGTAGGTGGAACAGTCGAATGTAGCATCCTATGCAGGGGTGGTAACTCTTGGTCGGCCTGTTCTCGGACGGTCTGCAGTGGAATTGAACTGTGTGTATCGGTCGCAAAGGCGGCAAATGGTGCTGTGGTGGACGTTGAATTGGCTTGCAACAGAAGACTGCGATACCCTTCTTTGGATACGTCTTATGGCGATGTTCCGATGAAGATCGCTGAGTCTCGGCATTTTCGAACTTGAAAAATGTTGACAATTGAATGACAAATTATTGGCTTGTGCTTGCCTTTTTATAGCCAATACCACGAGTTACGAATGTCATAACTTGCACGTGCGTTTTGCTTTACTATTTTCCTCCATGACATTTTTGAACAAGTGTGAAAACGATGCCGTTTAATACATTGCAAATCGACAATGGCTGCGTTTTGACGCACTGTTTGTCGAATATCAGGCCACCAACATTTTCCAATAACATATATCCAATTTATATACCGGATATCGTGCAAAATGCGTGGATCGCACGTGATCATCATGCATAGATTGTAACCATGTGTTCAGATATTGACACACCACTACACACGTAACTTGATTGATTGCATTTCCTCGTATCCCAATTAAGGTGATCGGTGCTCAGGTGATCGATGCCCTGGACTGTCTGGTCCAGACGCGATTATTTACAAACCGCCCTGATACAGCTGAAATATTGCTGAGTGCGCTGTAAAACAACATACAAAACAACATAACTCGCAGACGCACATGAAGGGTGTATGTGGTAGGCCGGGCTGGTGCTCCTATGCCGTGTGTTCAGCACCACCACTTGCAGCACGCCTACAGCAGAGGGCAAGGAACCTCTTCCTGACCGGCGGTAGTTTGAAGGCATATATGACGGGGTTGATGACGGAGTTGCAGTACGCCATGACGCTGGTGGAAATGGCGTATTTGTTGACAGATGTTAGCGTCATCATAGCTGACTCGCCAGACATGTAGATAGTTGCGACCAATGCTGCAAGAGGTGAGGTGAGGTGAGGTGAGGTGAGGTGAGGTGAGGTGAGGTGAGGTGAGGTGAAATTGGGTTTAACGTCGCGTCCAAGATTATTGCACTTATATAGCGATGTGCATGCACGTGTGTGTGTGTGGCTGTGTGTACTAGTCCGGACTGATGCCGATTTATAGTGCTAGCACACTGAGATACCATGCCGCAGTTTAACATGAATACCCCACTCAGACACAGTATACTGACTCCGAGCCGACCAGTCCTTGTTTTAGCCCCTTAATGGATCGCACCCCGGACCTTCCGCTCTCCGGGCGGACGCTCTACCACTAGACCACGGAGGCGGTCCAATGCTGCAAGAAAGGCAGCAGTATAATATAAACTCCAAGTAGGTTGGGGACATTCAAAAACATCAACTGGTTACAGAAATACAAAGAGGTATCGAGTGATGGTAATGGATGGATAAGAACATGACGCACTGGGCGTAACATGACAATTGACCAAACATTCTGGCGATGTAATTGTGAGGGTGCAAACAACCAAGCAAGATGACAGGGGTGTGTAGTAAAAGAATGAACCCTTAAGTTGACTTTATCAGTCATGGGTCATGCGCCCACACCTCTAGCAGCGCCTAGCCCAGTTTGGCTGACGTAGCTGGGTGGCATTTGACGTCGGCGTACAGGTCTTCTGTTCATGTCCCGGACGAAACGTTGACCAGCATGGCGCGCAAACTGTACAACTACTGGCGACAGTATGCTGTTGGTAGTATTGTCCAGTAAGCATACCATGGACAATATGTAGTGCCGTTCTGGCAGTCATAGTGATCCCGCCCAATATCATTACAGACCCACCATCAAATCTGTCACGTTGCCTAACACTGGCGTTCGCATGACGTCCGTTTGGACGCTTCCAGACACGCCCACACCTATATCCAGAAAGTCCAGAGTGAAAACATCGGCGATTCCCCTATTTTCTACACTCTAAACACCACTAGTGACTGACCAGAATGTGTCGATTTATTAACGCTGGTACAACACTGGATGAAGATAAAATAAACTCACGGCAGGTACAGAACTGTCTTAGATTTATCTTACATTTACGACATTCTTACGGTATCCTAGGGCTACGATAGTTTCGAATATTGGCTATGGCAGTCTACGCCTTCCCTACGATAATTTTACGATAATTTTAGGGCTAAGATCGTTTCGAAAATCTAGGCCCTGGTCAGAAACCTGAACTCAAGTAGCCCGAAGCAAGTGAAAAGCGATTTGATTGGCTGTTTGAGCTCGATTTCTTGAAGTCTGGTTCTGATTAATTGATCCTTGACTTTTGTTGTTGTGGGCGCACTGTGAGGGGTCGACCATTATCATTTTGTGTCTGCAGAAACCTCATCCAAAGTCTGCAATCCACAGACTAAGACACATTGAAAATAATGGCTACCTCTCGCTGAGTTCTACCTGCCATTATCCCTTTGGTGTTTACGACGTATTCCCAATCTGATCACAAATACTTCATTAAATCAAGAGTAGAGCGTTTACTTGTTATAGTGCAAAATCAACAATACCAATGCCTCAGCGATTTGACGACCTTTCTCTGAAGTGTCAAAATCAGGAATGACCCACTGCCATTGTAATTACTTTGCAATAATCTGTATTGATTTGTAAACCCAGATAATTGATAATTGTATAACATGTTTTGTTATTCGTTGGTTTCACATCGATTCTTTTGCGTATAGATTTCTGGGTTAAGCCTCATCAGACCCAACTGACAATTTGATTCGGTTTGT